AGGAAGCTTTGTCTAATATATGTAAATGTTTATGCATATATATATATATATGTGTGTGTGTGTAAATAAATAACTCAGTGAGATCTTTTGATAAAGACAAACGGCTTTCAGTTTCAGCGGCTCCATCAGGTGACCTACCTGAGCACCTGACACCACCTGCCAGGTGTGTGAGTTGTCTGACAGGTCATCTGATGTCATCAGGGGTCACGGGGTCACTGCAGGTCATCACCGATCCTCCGTGTTAAAGTGCAAGCTTTATTTTCTGCCTGGCTGTCGATCACACGGGGATTATATCTGGTTCTCTCTTTAACTGTACGTTGAAACTTGATCGACTACTCAAGTGGAAACGTTCCAACTCTGTCCGAACTCTGTTCCCCAACTCTGTTCCCGAACTCTGTTCCCCAACTCTGTTCCCGAACTCTGTTCCCCAACTCTGTTCCCCAACTCTGTTCCCGAACTCTGTTCCCCAACTCTGTTCCCCAACTCTGTTCCCCAACTCTGTTTCCCAACTCTGTTTCCCGAGCTCTGTTCCCGAGCTCTGTTCCCGAACTCTGTTCCCCAACTCTGTTCCCCAACTCTGTTCCCGAACTCTGTTCCCCAACTCTGTTCCCCAGCTCTGTTCCCGAACTCTGTTCCCCAACTCTGTTCCCCAACTCTGTTCCCCAACTCTGTTCCCCAACTCTGTTCCCCAGCTCTGTTCCCCAGCTCTGTTCCCGAACTCTGTTCCCGAACTCTGTTCCCCAACTCTGTTCCCCAACTCTGTTCCCCAGCTCTGTTCCCCAACTCTGTTCCCCAACTCTGTTCCCCAACTCTGTTCCCCAACTCTGTTCCCCAACTCTGTTTCCCGAGCTCTGTTCCCCAACTCTGTTCCCCAACTCTGTTCCCCAACTCTGTTCCCCAACTCTGTTCCCCAACTCTGTTCTCGAACTCTGTTCCCCAACTCTGTTCCCGAACTCTGTTCCCCAACTCTGTTCCCGAACTCTGTTCCCGAACTCTGTTCCCGAGCTCTGTTCCCGAACTCTGTTCCCGAACTCTGTTCCCGAACTCTGTTCCCGAACTCTGTTCCCGAACTCTGTTCCCGAACTCTGTTCCCGAACTCTGTTCCCGAACTCTGTTCCCGAACTCTGTTCCCGAACTCTGTTCCCGAACTCTGTTCTCGAACTCTGTTCCCGAACTCTGTTCTCGAACTCTGTTCCCGAACTCTGTTCCCGAGCTCTGTTCCCGAACTCTGTTCCCGAACTCTGTTCCCGAACTCTGTTCTCGAACTCTGTTCCCGAACTCTGTTCCCGAGCTCTGTTCCCGAACTCTGTTCCCGAACTCTGTTCCCGAACTCCTCTGGTTCTCGCTGTTGTTGTTGTCGCTAATCAATCACAGAAAATCAATCCTGCCCAGTCACTGATGTTGGAACGATCCATACTGACCTGTAACTCTAACTGTGAGCGTCCCGTCAGGGGTAGATTACCACCTGGGCAAAGCAGGGGCCCCGGACCCTCAGGGGCCACAAAGGTTCACTCTGTGTATTGTTTGTGGTTCTTTGATTAAATTAACAACAACGCACATTTTATAGCATCAACAGAAGAAACATCAGATCACTGGAGGACCAATCAACAGTAGTGCTCAGATCCTTTAAGTACTAATACCTCACTGGTAAAATACTCTGTTAAAAGTAAAAGTACTGCATTGAAAATGTTACTAAAGTAAAAGTAGGAAAGTTTATACAAAGGCAAATGTATTTAATGTATTAAAAGTGAAAGTACTGACTGTCCTGTGACCGTAAAACTATTAAATATTAGATTATTATTATTCCTCATGTATTCATGTAAAACTTTTACTGCTGTGGTTGTTGAGCTCATTTTAACTGTTAAGTATCTGACTGCAGCTGATGATCATTTTCACCATTAATCTAGTTTCAAAAATAGTGAGAAATGCCGTCAGAGTGAGTCCAAAGCGACGCCTTCACAGTATTACAAATAAATTAAAGTAATTAAAATCTCAATATTTGTGAAACAGTGAAATGTTTTTACATGAAAAACGTTAGTCAGTCTAATGATCCTGTCCGCTGTTGGAGTTAAATTTAGAACAGAGCATCATATTTTATAAACTTGTGTAAAAATCTGAAGCTGTCAGATTAATGTACTGAAGTAAAAAGTACAATATCTCCCTCTGAGATGGAGCAGAAGCAGAAAATACTCAAGTACCAATACCTCAGAATTGTACTCCAGTGCAGTACATAGTTACTGTCATAGGAAAATAAAAAACATTTATAATATTAAAGTCTCCAGTCAGTCGTTCTGTGTCACTTCTCTGTACAGAGCTGCAGTGATCAGCTGATTGATCATTAACTAGTAATCATTACTAACACTGTTTAATCCACTACTACTATTCAGCATTATATTTCTGTTAACACTGTAAAATACTTTAGATTTGTAGGGGAGACCGGCTGTAACAACACCAGTTAGAGATAAGACAGGAGTCATGTGATCGTTTCAGTATTTACCTGCTTGCTCCCCGAGCAGCTGCTTGTCACGTCTGGAAACAGTTACGGGCAGAATATAGAGGGAAAAACTGATTTTGAGGTTAGAAAGTTTTTGACCGAGACTGTTTTCTGTCCAGTCTCTGAAAAGATTGAAATGTCGTTTCTCAGGCAACATGTGGTGCGTTTTTTCCTTTCTGATTTCAGACCGCTCTGCTAATACAGCGAGCTAAACAGCGGCGTGCTGGAACACTTCTTTAAAAAGTGCTATTCATACAGCTCAGGACTTTCTTGATTTTCATATTTTACAGAGGGCCCTTTGCAGTCCGCTTGATGGTCTCCTGTGATTTGTTTCCACGCCCATAAATCTGCGCAACCTTGCTGTTGGGAGTGCAGCAAGATGGCGGCTGATTGTCAGCAATATCAAAAAGAAAATAATCTTGAGTCTATGAGAAAACGCTGCCCCTGATATCTGAACTAAAGATGGCATGATAAGGTCCCTACAGCACACAGGGAGAGCAGTATAAAATGACTCTGCAGTGGGAGCGTTCTTTGATAGGGGATATCAGAATTGATGTTATAATATAATCAAAGACGTCCTAATACTGTGAGAGTTATGACTTTATGGGATTCGAAATGCAAAAGGTAGCATTTTTCGATAGGGCAGCATATCTGGTCAGAACACCGGCCCACTTCCTGCACTGACTGTGACACACAGCTTTCTTTGTTAGACCTCAGGATGCACAGAGATGTTCTTTGATTCAGTCCACTGTAGTATTTATTAAGTATAAACTGTTAAGTACTTTCATCAGACTCAGTCTGTTACAGAGAGAGAGAAACATTCTTCTTTTATCTCTCTGCCTGAAGCATATCGTACGGTGGGGCATCTAATTTTGCTCCTTTTGTTTTATTGTTACAACCTACCTACCGATACTTTCACTTGTAACAGAGATCCTGGCGCAGGTCGTAACAGAGGAACACAACACATTTAACATCCACTCGTTACAGAAGCAAAAAGTGTTACCGGCTCTCCCTTATATTTTATTATATGTTCTACTTTCTCTGGTTATTATTTCTAATACTTAATACCTCCATATAAAAAGTGCAACTGTAACAAGGAATTTCCCCTCAGGATTCATCGTTAAAGTCAATAATAAAGTTAATATAAATTAAAATTATAATAATAATAATAATAACAACAATAATAATAATATTGTTGTTGTTGTTGTTATAATCGTGAGCTGCCTTCTTCTGCAGCTTTCCAGCCAAACGCAGACTCAGAGGTCAGAGGTCACTGAGTTTCTGCCTGACATCAGCTGAGTCAAACTTGTTCTTCTTCTTCTGAAAGTTCACTCGCTCTCTCTCCACCTGTGGAGCTGGCTGGAACACGTGACTGAACGCGGAAGCGGAAACAGCAGAGCGAGTTTCCAACAGCTGAGCAGTGAGCAGAGATCCTCTATTAACAGACGAACCACTCTGTAGTCAAAAAACAAAACACACTGAACCTGACATTAACAACAGGAAGTTAGACTCTCAGGTAACATCAGACTGAATACACGCAGAGTCTGTTTCAGCTGTACGACTGCAGTGACAGGTAAAAACAGAAACCCCTGTTTTCAGGTGCGGTTCTATTTAAATCAGTACCAAACATTTTTAATGACCTCTGGTTACAGCATGTTTCCACTTTAGGTACGGTCGACAAATAAAGTTTATCTTAAAGGAAAAAAAGATCATAAAAATGTTTATCTGGGAAGAAAATATCATTTTTAACCTGTGGACGTATTTAACACAACTTTCAGTGGGGACAGTAACTATAGTCACTCTAGTACTGTATTTAAGTACAAAGTATAAGTACTTGTACTTCACTTGAGTATCTTTTCATGCCTCTGTAAAAACATTTCATGGTCCAGATTTGCTGTTTTGGATTATTTTAATGTGTTTTTAATCATGTTGAGGTTTGGACAGACAGAACAAACATTTTGAAGGAGTCACTTATCATTTATCAACATTCTTAGTATTGAATAAGGAAAATGAGATATATTAAAAAAAATCAGTGGACGAATCCAAAATGAAAATAATAATTTATTGCAGTCTGATACAAAATAGTTCAACTTCAACCAGCTACATGAATCAGTAATAATAATAATCTAATGATATAACAGCACAACAGGCACAGGGGACTTTTTCATTCTGCTTTGAGTTCTTTTAATACTTTATGTACATTTTCCTGATTATACTTAAACATTTTTACTTCAGGGGCATTTTCAATGCAGCACTTTTGCTTGTATCAGAGTATTTTACAGTCTGGTAGTACTTCCTCCACCTCTGTTTCACCTGTACTATAAATGTGGGCACCTTCAGAGATCAAGTTTCAATGCAGTACTTTTACCTGTAACAGAGTATCTTCACAGCTCAGGTAACTAGTTTCACCTGTGGCATAAATGTCTCGCTGCCTACTTCCTCCTGGTTCGTGCAGCTCTGCTCGGAGTGACACCTCTCCGCTGTCTCCGCGCTCTCTGACGGCAGCTTCAGCTCAGTTAGCAGCGCCGAGCTAATCCGGCTATCAGCTAACGGCTAACGGCTAGCTAGTGGCGCTATGATGGCGGAGCTGGTGCAGGGACAGGCCTCGATGAACCAGCCGGGGCTGAAGTCAGACGGCATAGCCGAGGTTTTACAGAGGGCCCGGCAGGTAACAACTCCACTGGGGCTCAGCACACACCCGTTCCGGGCCGAACCGGGCCGTTTAGATCGAGCCAAAGCACTTTTATTCGAATTCGCCCGTGTTGTGCTGCTGCTGCTCCTAACTTATGCGCTCCGTCAACACACACTAGCATGCTAACTAGCTCGGAAAGCAGTTCGGAGTTGGACCTGTGGCCGGGGTTCGGACACTTTACCCGGCCTGGCACGGTCCGGGAGTTAGTTTAGGGGGAGTTTGCGGAGCTGTCACCCGGAGGGGAGCGCGGTGGGACCGGGGAGAGGGGAGGTGGAGGAGGAGAGGGGGGGAGCTCGGCAGAAGTTTTTTGGCCACACGTGTCACCGAAGCAGACAACCTGTTGGGCTGCGGGACGGGAACACGGTGGAAACCGAGCCGGGACCAGAACCAGGCACCACTTTTTACTTCGCTTTAAAGACCCACAAACTGTCCTGAACAGGCCGGGGGGGGGGGGGGGGGGGGGGGGAGGGAGGGAGGGAGGGGGGGTTCATACTGTGTTAAAGCTTCATCCGCTTTCCAGCAGTTAACATTAGAGCTGGACCCCCCCTCCCCCTTTCCTCCCCCCTCCTCCCCCCCTCCCCTTATAGGCTGCTGTTTACTGTAAGTTGGTTAGAAACTAGGCTGGCGTTATGCAACAGCCCTGCACAGCGGGGTGGAGGTGTGTCTGCGTCCTATAGACAGGAAGGCCGGACAGTAAACCGCCTGGACCTGTTGGACCCAGCAGGGTGCTTCTGTACTGGGGGGTCGCCGCTGGTTTGAGTCCAGCAGGGTCCACAGGTGCTCCTCAGGCTCCATCCACACTCCTTCCTTCTAAACCTCAGTTTTTATTCTGTGTAAATAACACTCAAACACTTAATAATAAGAACAATAACTGTGCACGTTGTTTTAAAACTCCATTTTTAGATGTAGGGTAGCTTTCAGTCTTTATGCTAAGCTAGGCTAACCACGTCCCGGCTCCAGCTCCGTACTGAACACACAAACACGAGGCGGATGTCCGTCTGAGCCTCTTCGCGTTCTGACCTCATCGCCCTGCAGAACAGCAGCAACGTGACGTCATCCAGGCAAGACGCTGCTTCGGCCAGTCGCGTGCACGCTAGCGCCGCATTCCTGGTGGATTACGCTGCAGTGTGAACTCCATAAGTTTTAATCTTCGCGACGAAAGTTACAAACATTTTCTAGAGATGAGTAAGAGTGAAGAATGAGACAAGATGGCGGGTAAACAAGCCGCACTCATCCACAAATGTCAAAAATGTTTGTACTTTTTTCACTTAGATTTTGGAAAAGTTAGCGAGAACCGAACACTGAATTATCTCATCAGGCCGTGACTGTAACCAACCAAACTTGTTTGGTTTGATTCCCGAGGCGTCTGTCAGCTGTTTCCCTTCTCGGCAGGCGAACGTTAGCTCGCTAGCTGACCTCGCACGGTGCCGTAACTGCTTCCCTAAAAGGCTGTTCACCTGAAAGCTATGCAGCGAGGCAACAGAGTTTAATTTACTTACGGGTCTGAACCTGTAGGCTCAGCTGGGGGGGGGGGCAAACCAGGAAGTCCAGCCTAGTTAGCCTAGCTTAGCATAAAGAAACAGCTAGCCCGGCTCTGTCCAAATGTTCAGAAGCGCTCCACGAACTACTGGTGAGGTCGAACAGTTAATCTAAATTTTATCGAAATCACAACAAGGTCTGCTGAAATTTTCTATTCGCAGGGGAAGCTGTATTTGTTAAAATATTATTTTAAATGAAGTATCGTTGTGCTGCAGAGACGCTCGGCCTACATGTTACAGAGACTTAAGAAAACATTATTTGGTGCAGAAATCACGCCATAATCATTTAAATATGTTTTAAAATGATCTTTCCTCCTAGTATCTTAAGTCCTATCACTATCAGTCAAAATAATAATTTCAATTACATATTTCCTTGAAATGGTTCAGTCCTGCTAGTGACGCATGAAATGGGTTTGTTGTTCCATAAATCCTTCACGTTTTTGTAAATTAAAAAGAAGTTAATAACCTGTAAGCTCTGCACACCTGATGGTTAGCGAGGCTGGTTAGCTTCCCAGTGCTTGTTGAGAAGACGCTCCGCTCTCTGGGATACTGCTAACTTTAGCTGCTGCTTCGTCGCGGCGCCGAACTTGAAAGCGACTTGAAAGATTAGTTGTGTTGAAACGTAGAGCGTTGTTCCTCTGAAACTGAGCCAAACATCCGAACATGTTTGTTCGGCTGCGTCGGCGTGGCTCGTTCCAACAGCAGCTACGTACGTTAAACGTAGGATTCTTATCTGCTTAATCATCGGCCAAAATTTCATTTCCCGATAATAAAGGTGTGCCCAATATCGGCCGATAGTTCATCAGATCGATCATTTATCGTGCGTCCCTACTAACTACAGTGTTTCTGTTGTTTTCCCACCTGATGGAAAAGTGAAGCCTGTTAGCAAACCTCTGCCCTCCAGACTGCACAGCTAAGCAGGGAAGCTTAGACTGAAGTCTAGGCTGCGTCCTTTGGCTGCTGTGTACCTGAACATTAGCTCAATTATAGAAAGTACCTGGAAACTGTATTTTATTACTGCCTACTTGTCCGATGTTGAGAACATCAGGTACAAACTGAGACTAAACTGCCTGCAGCTCCGTCCTGTTCAGACTGAATAAATCAGTTTTCAGTCTGAAAAAGTGGTTTTGCAAGAGAAAGGACAGAGGTGACTGGAGGAGCTGAGCTTAGTGAAGCTAATTACTGATACAAACTCGTCCTTTTAAGCCGATGAGGAGACGTTTCTGTTTGGATTTTAACGTGCAAATAAAATGCACCTCAGAAGGGAGGAGGTTTCTGATGCTGTCTGTTTTTATATTAATGATACAGATGAATGTCAGAAGCTGTAAAATGAAGACACAAACATGAACAGTCGTATCTAGAATGATTCTGAGGTCATATTAACAGGGTTTTAGGGCTGATGCCCAAAACATGCTGAGCCATCACTGTAAAATCACTGTGGAGCAACAGAACCAACCAGATTACTTTCTCCAGATCTAAAGGTTGTCGTTCCTCCAGCAGACTGATCTGCTCCAGCTTTTCCAACTATTTGTTCAGAGATATGGTGAAAATAACGTCCCAATATGATGTGAAACCCCCCACCACCCTGACCATGACCACCAACACCAAAACATTCAGCTAAAGCTCACATTAAACTGAGAAAACACAGCAGTTTGAAGCTGTTCTAAGGTGCATCGCATGCTCATGGACACACGAGACATGTTGTGTTGGGGTTTTAGATTCAGAAAATGTTTTTGCAACACTGAACTACACTCTCACTGAACTTCTTTCTTCAGCCGCGTTAGGTTAAATACGCCGCTGATATTAAAAACAAGCTCACGACAGTTTAAACACGACAGTCTTTTGACAAATCAGCTTTGGGATTATTCAGGAATAACATCAACAACGTCACATTTCTGTGTTTCTGAGTTTGTGGGATGTTTTGTGTCTCATGCTGTTTGTTGTTGCCACTTTACTTTAATCTCAATCAGACTCTCCTGGTTAAATGAGAAAGAATGTCTAGATTATTGATTGCTAAGCTAGTGAGGCCAACCGTAGCTACATATTAGCCCTGTATGGCTAGCGTAGCAGGCGGTTATGTAATCTGCATTTGAGCTGAAACATTCAACCATCAGACTTTTTCCCAGCAGACGGTCGGTCGCACTGGCTTGATGTTTGGCTGTTAGCAAAGTTGGCGTCTTGCCAGTTTTTGGTCATAAGTAAACATAACAAATGCACGTGTACAGCTGTCCTTATTCACCACAGCGCTGTGGGCCGGATCTCATTGATCCCAGAGGTCACCTTGACTGCTGCTCAGTGCGTAACATTACTGTACCGCACAAGCGTTAGCGTTGGGCTAATCAGCTAATAATTTCTGATTAGCCTCTGATTTCATTTTTTATTAAACAAAAGTCTTAATAAGCTTCAGAGAAAACAAGAAACAGTAAGGAAGCTTATAAAGAGGGAAGTGATTATTCAAACCGGCTTCAGTAACTATATTGATAAGGAGATGAGCCTCAGCAGGATGGAGACGTTGGGAGCGCTTGGTTTGATGTAAAGGGATCTTCCTGCTGATTTAAATCGCTGCTGTTGTGATGAGTGAGACCTCGAATGAATCCAGATCTTAAGATTTGTTTGTCCGGAGCTGATTCTTTCTGCTGCTGCTGCTTCGTCATGAAGACGCTCAAGGCTACCTCCCTGTGTTGTTGGCTGTGTGTTCTCAGCCAAGGTGAGGTCAGCTAGCAGCGATAAGCTAATGGCTATGAACGAGCTGGAGTGCGGTTGACTCTCACTCTGCAGCCAATAGACAAGAATACTTAACCTAAACAACCCGTCTCTGACAGGCTGCTGGGAAACAGCATCTGGCCTTCAGAGTAAAAATGATTCACTGATAAAGCATCAGATTGTCACCTTCATCTTTATGCATCTGAGGGAGGAGCTTCAGGTTTAAAGAGCAACCTTCAGCTGTCTTTACCAGCTGCTGACTGTGGAAGGGTTTTTCTCTGCTCTAATATCCTTACAGAGCAGGTCTATAATGTTTTCCTGGATTAGTGCAAATACAGCTAGATACGTCAGTGCTAAGAGGCTATGGCGTACCTGCTGCAGCTACGTACTAGGGCTGCACCATTTGGATATAAAGTCATATTATGATTATTGTAGACAATATTGTGATTTGCGATAAAATGTAACAAATGGTATTATGAGTCTACGTGTTTGATTATCGAGAAAATTCACAAAATACTGACATTTTGACATATATGTGTACCTAACAGGTGGGCACTCGAGTCACAGGACTTTACTGACTTGTGACCTGGGACATGACTTTAGACCTGTTGGTCTCGACTTATGATTTGACTTTAGACCTGTTGCTCTTGACATGATTTGACCTTAGACCTGTTGGTCTTGACATGATTTGACTTTAGACCTGTTTGTCTCGACTCGGGACTTGATCTGTTGTGACTTGGGACATGACTTTAGACCTGTTGGTCCTGACTGGTCCTGGTCCTGTTTGTCATGACTTGGGACTTAATCGCCAATCAGAAATACTTTATTTATTCTTGTGTCAGAGTTGCTCAGGAAAATAAATAAATAGACAGTTGGTAAATAGAATAAAAATATATAGTCTAAAAGTATTGGGAAATGTACAGTATTTTACAGAATGTGACAGAAGTGCAGACTTACAAAGACCACTCACCATCAGCTCTGTCGCTGCTAGGTGATCGTTTGTCTCTGTTAGCATTGAGCTACTCACCCATACAGGCGTTAGTCTGTTCTCATGTCCAGGTGTTACAGCTGTTTCTGTCTGTGTTTCTGTCAGATGGTAGGAAAGATGGGCGGAGAAACCATGTCTCACCTCAACAGCTCCTCAGGAAGTGTCGAACCCTCGCTGTACTACCCGGGACAGAAGCGACCAGGAGAGGACGGAGGTGAGCCGTTTAGGGAGGAAATCCATTAATTCATGAAATGTGTGTATTTTCTGTACATTTGAACGCCTGACAGAGCCGTCACTCAGACCTCCTGGCATTAACGTGCATCTCGTATCCAGACTGGATCCAGAGGTCATTTTAACCTGATCACATTTTCACCTGGTATGAATTAGAGATGCGCAGATTGATCGGCTGGTGACCGGAATCGGACGGATTTCAGTTTAATTGTCGGTGTCGCTGTCACATGTGCACAAGTTTTTCACCTCACCTGGAACCCTACAAATCACAGTGTCCGGGTGTTTGAGGTTTTTTAAAACAGGCCAACACGTTGTTGTTTGGTCTTTGTATGGATGTGTTGAAAATAGGAAAAACGCAGCTCGCCTTGATTGACTCGTGCCAATAAGACCGCTCTTAAACACTTCACACCTGTACAACATATTGATATCAAACCACCTCTCATCTGTCCCGGACATCCTCTCACAGCTGTTAGTTGTTCTCTGTAACATTCAGATGTTTTTATTACAGGAGTGTGTGTTGAAGTACACGGGATTTATTTTCTGGTATCGTGACATCCCTACTAGAAAACAGAACCATGTCCCGTTTCTTCCCCTGCGTTTTTCTGCAGAAACGCGTCATCCGGCCGGACTTAATGTTAGTTTTGGTCAGCAGCTCCGTCAGATGAAGAACATAAACATGTCTAATCTGTGTCTCTGTCTCTCAGTAGGAAACCAGCTAGCAGCCATGGGGCATCAAAGGTACGACCTGCACGTCATATTGATGAAACACACATGCACGCAGCGGGCGGCGCACATAATGACCTGTGTTCAGCATCGTAGTGCACATCAGTGCGAGGGTGTTGGGGTGCAGCAGTAGATAAGTGTTTATAGATCTGTCCTCCTACAGTCATAATCATAATCACTTATTGACACACTCACTGTGGTTGCGGCTTTTCTTTGTGACCGGGATGGTAATGTGTGTTTGTGTGTGTGTTGCAGCAGGGTAATCACAGAGGATTACAAGGTTCCCGACAGAATGGTTGGCTTCAGTGAGTATGACCTCCGACCTTTCAGTCCTTGCTACAGATCAGGTGTCTGAAGGCTCCGTCGTCCGTTCACATTGTAGTTGTAAAGAGAAGCTGATCTGAAGTCTGGACCAGCACTACGTCCCAGTCAGATTCTCAGCTTATTTTAACCTTATGAATCATTTTTCATCCCTCAGTTCTGACTGTTGCAGTTAAATCAGAACGTGACATTGAACCTTTTCACTTTTAACCTGACCTTGGACGGCTTACCCGAGCTAGAACCTTGAAACCTGAAATAAAACCTGTATCCTGGACTTTTTCACCTGACTCTAATTCAGACGGCATTCAGACCAAACGCGAATTTAATCCTCTCAACGCTCTCCTGGCGGGGTTTATCTCTGGACAACTGCCAGGGGTTCACGCACAACGCGAATAAACACAACCCACCATTACTACAGCCGTACGAACCCAAAGTAAACATTTTGCTGTGATTTAATTGTAATAAACGGATCAAATTGATGCCGGAATAACTACAATATGATGCAGATCTGTTAAACATATGAATTGATGCTTTGTCAGGTCTGTCAGCAGGACAACAACTGTTAAAATGTTTGTTTTCTGAATGGAGTTCGGCTCGATCAGGGCTACGCTATGCTAACTTGGTCACAGTAAAGTCACCAGGTACTTCAACTTCCTCACTGTCTTTTCTCCAAGTAACGTCCAGTTTTGTCAGGTTTTTATATAAATACGAAGTAGCAGTCCAGCAAAACTCTGGGTGCCGACCGACGCTAACAACAACACTGGAACCGCAAATGCACGGAAGCTGCTGAGAAGCGCGAGTGAAGTTAAATCAACGTTGTCATTCCAAAAACTAAAGTAAAAAGCTAATTTAATAAAAGCTCCTCCCTTCGAGTAAACGGTGCAGAATCCAGACCGACTGCAGGTGTTTGTGCTCCCTGCTCCTGTCCCCCAAGTTTAGCAGCTCTCAGCCGGCCTGCAGATTTTCAGTCGCCTGCTCTGCCTGATCCTCTTCACACAACGCTCTGAAGCCGTCGGTGACTATCGCGGCTCGACGTCATGCCACTTCCTTCGCGTCGCCGGCAGCGCCCTCCTTTGTTCCGCCCCACAGGAAATTACGTCTCTACGCGTCTTTGCATTGACTTTGCATGTAAACGCATCACCGCCCAACGCTCGCTTTGCTTTTGGTCTGAAAGCACCTCAAACCTTTATCCAGAGCTAGAGCCCTTCCACTTATCCAACAGTCTTCCATATAACGTAGAACCTTTAACGTGGGATTGTTACAGCTGTAGTAGAACATTAGAACCTTTCATCAGTACTAGAATCTCTGAGAACCTTTTCAAACAACCAAGAACACTCCATCAGAGCTAGAGCGTCCACTAAAATAGAATTAAATCCACCCGAGCAACAATTGTGTCACCTGATCTATAATCTTAATACTCACCAAGAGCCTTCTACCTGACCTAGACCCATTAAACCAACCTTGAACCTTTTAAGCTGATCCAGATACCTTACCTGAGCTAGAAGGTTTCACCTGACCTAAACCTTTCCAACTGAGCTACAGCCATTAACCTAATCCTAAAACATTTAACTTGAGCTAGAGCCTTTTCTGACCAGGCATAGAACATTTTACCTGACCCAAAAGCTTTCCGCATGACGTAGAACCTTTGCACCTAACATAGACCCCTCCACCTGACCAATAACCTGAACCTGATCACACCCTTCTCGAACCTTTTCAGCTAACCTGGACCCTTTCTCATACTGACCTAGAACCTTATTAACCTGAGCCAGGACCTGTTAATCTAACCAAAACCCCTTCACAAGATCCAGAACCTTCTACTTAACCTAGATCGTTGAACCTTACGCCTGACCCAGAACCCTGTCCCCTGACCTAGAGTCAAATAATCGATTAGTTATCAACAGCTACATTAATCAACAACTGTTTTGATAATAATCAGTTGGAGTAATTGTCCGATTCCAGCTTCTAAAGGATGTCATCTCAGGCTTTAGGAAAAACATTTGACCATTTTCTGACATTTTATAGACCAAACAACTAAATAATTCATATAGAAAATAATCCACAGATTAATCGACAATGATCATTAGTTGCAGCCGTAACTCCAACCTGCCTGGATGGTAAAATGTTGATTTACAACGAAAGAAAGAACCAACAGACACCCCGACTGTGCACTTTACTTTGTTTTAGCAAGATATCAATACAACAATAGATTTCTCTCCTGTGCTCCTCCAGTTATTGGTAGAGGAGGTGAACAGATCACCAGGATCCAGTTGGAGTCCGGCTGCAAGATCCAGATTGCTTCTGGTGAGACTGTCGGACTGTTTACTTGCTTTTCCTGCAAAGTCTTTGTTGTACCACCTTTTCCATGTTTTGCTGTAGTTGCTCTGCTCGTTTTGTTAATGTTTGTTTAATTAGTCTAACTTTAAAAGGAGACTTCTTGGTTCTACTTTGATGCCTCTTCTGCTCTTCATGTCTCCAAACAGCTGCTTCATTTACACGACTGCTCTTGCATTTTCTCTGGTTGTTTAAAAACTGATAGTAATTAACTCTGAAGTATTGAGTTTATCTATTTTAAAGTTGAACTTAGACACCTTCCAGGAACGCCTGACCAACCAGCTGTGTGTTGTGTGTGTGCAGACAGCGGCGGTCTGATGGAGCGGCCATGTTCCCTGACTGGAACCCCAGAGAGCATCGAGTGAGTTTCTAAAACGTCTCCGCCCTCAGCTCCTCCAATGACCTCCTCCTGCTGGGTCACCTCCTCACCTTCTCCCGCGCTCTTCGTTTACAGGCAGGCAAAGCGGCTGCTGATCCAGATTGTGGATCGCTGTAGAAACGGACCTGGTTTTCACGGCGAAGGGGAGGGCGGCGCCTCGGTGCAGGAGATGCTGATCCCGGCCAGTAAGGTGGGGCTGGTGATTGGCCGAGGAGGAGACACCATCAAACAGCTGCAGGTACACTAGCCGATGTGTAATATCCCACGCTCTCGCCAAGCCTGTACGTCTCTTCTGACTAGACGACTCGCACTCCTTAAATGGAAATTCAAGTTATGGATCGGAGGTCTTGGGTATAACTTGGCAGCGGATTAAATTTGCTATTCAACAAGAGGATATGTTCAGAAATGTTAAGCAATGTGGCAACCGTTTTTGAGAGTGCGGTCTAATGACCCTGTGCTACATGTAGGTATTTTCATACTGCATATTTTTTGTGTAATCTCATTGTTATTTTGTTTGTTTTTTATTATATTATTTATTATAGTTTTCTTATCATTTATTGCACTTGTACTTGCCTTCTGTTTTGTAATCCCTGTCACATTAGCCGTGTTCCCATCGCCGTTTTCTTATGCGCATTGAAGTGTCGCATTAGAAAAGGTCGATGGAAACGACGAAATTGGAAACAAAATCCTTGTATTTTATAAAAACGTTCTGACGCTCGTCTGAGGTGGTTTTTGACCTTGTCGGAAAAGAGTTGATGCCTGAAATGGGAGATGGGCGAGCTGGTGAGGAGGGAGCTTCCGAACAGCGATCTGATTCAAATGCAAAAGTCCCATAAACCCAACAGAGGGCGACTCTTCTGCTTGCAGAAAGAAGTCCGGCTCCATTAGAAATAATGTTAAAATGTTTCTCAGCTGATTTATTCCCTCAGTAAACACTTTCCTGATGAGTTTCTGGTCTCAGTCGCTAGTTTCAAGTCTTCTTCAACACAGCATGATGTTCATTTAGTAAATTATGGTCCCATTTAGAGGAACAGAGACCAGGAAGCAGGGGGGGCTTTAGGGCGGGGCTACAAGCTGATTGACAGGTCGCTACCATGGCGACCTGTCAATCAGGATAGAGGCGACTCGTATTCGCTGCCCTGTGAACATTTAACCAGCACGTTTAGTTTTAAGCCCGTTGTTCTCTAGACAAAATGATGAGCTCTGTTAAAATGACAGTTAACGTGACTTACAGATGCACCTCGCTAAGCTAGCTAGCTCCACACACGGCCGTTAGCGCCACCGTCTCCTCCAAATATGGTCACGTGTGGTAGTGTTGTAGTCAAGACCGCTCAAACAAAGACCAAGTCAAAACCAGATATATCGAGACCGAGACAAGACCAAGACCAGTTCTTCTCCGTGTTTACTATCGTGACAGTCGCTAACGGTTACAACACATTTTTAATCAGGGTCATTGGTTGCATTTGAAGCAAAACGTTTTACATCCAATCAAAGTTTAGATGTTAACAAATAAACCAGACAATTTAAAAACAATTAATTGATACTCCGAAAGTTCTGGTCTTGAAATAAAATCCAGAGTCCTCAATGACCGAGACCGAGTACAAATGAGGTCGAGTCCAAGACCAGACTCGAGTACTACAACACTAACATCCGGCGCCGCCGGTTGCAAAAACTCAACATGGCGGCGCCCTATCGGCCAAACTCGAGGCTTCAAAACGGCGGTCCACAAACCATCGGGTGACGTCATCATGACTACGTACCTTTTTATAGAGTCTGTGTTTGAGACACATTCCTGAGGACCTCTCTCCCTGGTCCTCACGTCCATGTGCCTGGTGTTGTTTTTTACAGCCGTGTGTGACGTCAACTAGTGACGTAACCACGCTGGCTTTCTCGCTCAGATGGAAACATGGCTACTGTCTATATTTATGTATCATCTCATTCTCGAGGAGGTCCTGCAACATATATGTATGTACAGACACACAAGTTAACCACGCAGCGCACACACACAAACACAATATAAAACTCGCCTGTACGTTCACAAAATAAAGAAAAGTCTTTCCCTTTGACGTCTCTGATGGATGCTGCTGTTGTGCGTTTCAGGAGCGAGCAGGGGTGAAGATGATGATGATCCAGGACGGTCCGATGCCGACAGGAGCCGACAAACCCCTCCGCATCTCCGGAGACCCGTACAAAGTGCAGGTAAAATCAGGAGTTTGTGCTCGACACCACGTGGCCTACACGGTTGTGACTAGAGGGGGAGCTTCGCTGCTGTTTGTGCGTTCAGATATCAGCCGTGTTCGTTGTTTACTGACGGCTCCAGCTTCAGAGTCGTGATATTTCCCCACCGCTGCTCCACATTACAGACCAGCAGAGTGTTGGGTGCTCTTTAGTCGGCAGATCAGGTTCAAAGCTAAGGATTGTGCTTTTCCTGTGCAAATGGATCAAACAAGCTTGAATGGTCACGGTTGCTCATCGCTGAGCTCGGTACACCTCAGGGCTGCAACTAATGGTTATTTTTATTATGGAATAATCTGTTGATCCTTTTGTCGACTGATAAAATGCTAAATTATGCAATACGGTGTCAGAAAATGGTTAAAAATGTGTTGCCCAAGATTACGTTCACAGAATGAATGCGTTTACTGTCACAGAGGAAGAAAAGAAACCAGAAAATATTCACGTTTAAGGAGCTGGAGTCAGAGAATTAGGACATTTATTTTCTTTTAAAAAAATGACTCAAAACGATCAGAATAGTTGGCGATTTAATTAAATAGTCTAATCAGTTAATCGGCTAATCGTTGCTGCTCTAGCACACACATTAAAAATGTTATTTCTGTAGCCCCTAAACCTCAAGTAGCCAATCAAAGAGCCTTTTAAAGAAGTAGATCTAATATCCCTAAATTAAATTAAACTAAACTCCCTGCAGAGACGAGCGTACACACAGACATCATTTATCTGTTCTCCCCTCCTTCCCCCCTTCAGGCAGCGAGGGAGCTCGTGTTGGAGGTGATCCGGGAGAAGGACGGAGACTTCAGGTCGGGACGCAACGACTTCAGCGCCCGTCTGGGAGGAGCCAACCTGGATGTACGACGCGAAACACAAACAAACGCACACACTGTCAGCATTTGTTAGCAGCCAACACGTATGAGCGTCTCTTGGATCACTATTTAAAAGGTACATTCATGTCTAGTCTGTCCCTCTGCAGGTCCCAGTCCCCAGGTTTGCTGTTGGCATTGTGATCGGCAGGAACGGAGAAATGATCAAGAAGATCCAGAATGATGCAGGGGTCCGGATCCAGTTTAAAGCAGGTCTGTCTACACCAGGATAAAACCGGTTCTTTGTAAAGTATTACTGGAATAGGGCTGGGCGATTCAGCGATGTAATCGATTACGTAAATACGTCAACTTCAACAACAACATCCGGTGTTAGTGGGATCCCCCCGGACAAGCTCCAGCTACCAAACCGAGCCTCCGGCCGGCTAAAGTTTGGGAGTATTTCAGACAGACGCTCCACAGCGTGCTGCTCCGAGAACACGTGAAGCGAAAGTGTCCCGGAGCGCCGACGGCAGCGCCGCACATCCTGTTTACTGTCTGTCTCCACACGAGCGCGGCGCGTTATCAGCACGAGCACACGTAGTCCGTAAAAATGTGTTTTCTAAGTGTTTCTTCATGTTAAAAGTAATTTCTGCCCCGCTGCTGTCATGGTAACGTAACGTTACACCGCGAGTCATCTAACGACAGTTTCATGTTTTCTGTTTAACGTCTGAGCGAGAGAACAGCTGAAACTAACATTACAGACGATCTGTGAGTGTCTGCGCGGCAGAGTCGCTCCAGTTGTTTCTCGCTGCGTCACTCAATACTGAAATAAATCCAGTCATTTAAAGTTTGAAGCAAAGTAGTTCATTAATGTCTGATGTTGTCACAACACATCAGTGAGGTGGAAACTGGATTCATCTTAATTCTGATGTGCTTCATCAGGACGAGTGAATAAAATACTGATTTATTGATTAGACACGTTTTTGATATTTATTTTGGATAAATTAGTGTGTTCATCGAGTAACGGGCAACTTAGATTAATCGACTAATTGAAAAAATAATCTTTAGATTAATCGATTTGAAAAATAATCCTTATATTGCGGCTGACTGTCCCATGATCACTCGAGCCAAATCAGGTGAACGGGTGAGTGCAGCTACTTCTCACCCACTCACAAGTGCCAGTGCAGTGTGCCGATACAAACGAAGGACATGAAGAGTCCTGTACAGCCCTAACACATGGTGCAGGGGTCCAGTTCAAAGCACAAGTTGTAATTCAGTTTAAAAGTAGTCAGTTTAAAGCGGTGTAATCCAGGCCACACTAGATTGAAGAGGTCTGTTTAAACTGGTGCGTTGGCATCGTGGGCTCTGGTTTAAGACTCATCTGGATCAGTGCTGGTCTCTTTACACCAGTGAAGTCCAGTTTGGACTCTGTTTAAATCGTTCACACGGTGTCCAGTCAGTGTTCAGCGTTATCAGCCGGTAGTCATGGCAACCGGCCATTTTATTATATTTCAGCGAGCGTGTAAAGCAACACCTGTCGGCGCTGATGTCACACGCTAGCACGCTGGCGTGGCTCGTTTCGATAGATAAATAAAATGTGTGTTAATAGAGTCGAGTACTGTAAGGCAGCTGCTGCTGACCTGACCACCTTCTGACCTCTGACCTCTCTGTGCCTCGCCCAGATGATGGCATCAGTCCGGAGCGTGTTGCCATGGTGATGGGTCAGCCGGACCGCTGTCAGCATGCTGTCCACCTCATCAACGAGCTCATCCAGACCGCACAGGTAACGCACTCTCAGAGTAGGGTCAGGTTTAAAGGTCAGGTCGCTGTCACGAGTCCAGGCAGATGTTACGCTCTGTGACGTAGCTGGTAGAGTTTGTGTTTCCTTTTACAGAAATAAAAACATTTCCACTATAGATTGGAGCTGAAAAATTCCCAGAATGCAGGAAATGAACTGTTTAAAGCTCAAAGCCGTTGATATAATTCAGCTCGTCTCGCCTGTAGTTCACAGCGCGCTCTTCTTTTTCTGTTGCGTTAGGAGCGCGATGGTTTTGGCTCCGCCCTGCGGAGTGGGAGGGTCAGAAGTCGTGGTGATTGGACTATGGGCTCTCCTGGTCCCCTACAGGAAGTGACCTACACCATCCCCGCTGACAAGTGTGGCCTGGTCATCGGCAAAGGTAGGAGAACAAGTTTCAGTCACAAACACATTCGGCGGTGTTACCACCTGACGCAAACAAGGCTCTGATATCTGTTTAACCTCGCCGACCACCTGTTGGCTTTCTCATGCTGAGAGCGTCACAGGCTGGCTGAGTCGACCCGTGACTCAGAGCTGTGACACGAGCCGAACCGTTTTAATGTCGGGTCCATACAACTATTTACAAAGCAGCAGAAGATATGCAGTGTAAATATTGGCTGCTTTGTTTATCTCAGCCATGTTGGTGTAAATATGGTCCAAGGTCTTCTCTGGTGGGGGGGGGGCACATGCTGCAGTCTCCAGGTTGAAGTGACCTGCTGGTTTGTAGCCTGTCCAGGAGGAGGCGTGTAAACTCTCAGGGCAGATAGAAACGTCTGCAGATAACTTTTTAAGTTTTATTTAACCAGATGGTGCCTGCATGTCAGAATAACGCCCACTAAAGTTGGAACAACATCATCCGGTACACGAGTTGCCGCTGTTGATGTCCTACAAGTAGAAACAGGACGGACGACATGGTCCGAAAATCACGTGTTGGACTCAAATGTTTTGCTTACATATCGTAATGTAATTTGGTGTTAGGTTATAACGGTTAATCGGCTGAAAATAGCAAAGAAAGCACTTTCTGTGTTTGGACTAATGAGCCGAATAAATTTTGCCGGCAGTGTGGAAGCATTTTAAAGTGTCTGAGCAGTTTGCAGACGCTGTTCTGCTGAACTGTCTCAGCACGTCCGCTCCATCTGCAGCTGACTTCTTAGACAAGAAACGCTTTGAGTGTTTCTGTCTCTCCTCTGTGAGAAGGAGGTGAAGCTAGCCATGCCTACATTTGAAGTGCGCACGTATTCCAGCCTTTACGGTAAGTGAAGCGGCCCAGAGCGAGCTGACGGGCAGGTTAGAGACTTTATCCTGTCAGTTTGTCTCTTTAGTATGAAGAGAGGCTGTAAAGTCTTCATGTTACAACATTATTTATCAAACCGGGTCGGACTGGATGGATTTAGCACGTCAGGAAACACGTGACAGCGTCCGGTTTTCAAAATAAGGCGTCTGTACAGGATGGAATTAAAAATATTAAAAATAAATGATCATTTTTTGGATTTTAATGTGCAAATAAAATGCAGCTCAGAAGGGAGGAGGTTTCTCATGCTGCCTATTTTTTATATTAATGATACAGATAAATGTCAGAAGCTGTAAAATGAAGACACAAACATGAACAGTCGTATCTAGAATGATTCTGAGATCATATTAACAGGGTTTTAGGGCTGATGCCCAAAACATGCTGTGCCATCACTGTAAAATCACTGTGGAGCAACAGAACCAACCAGATTACTTTCTCCAGATCTAAAGGTTGTCGTTCCTCCAGCAGACTGATCTTTAGCTGGTGGTTATTTATTATCTGCTCCAGCTTTTCCAACTATTTGTTCAGAGATATGGTGAAAATAACAGCCCACTATAATGTGAAATTACATATTTGTCATTGGAAAATGTGAAGTTTTCTTGTGGGACTCCCAAACTCCCCGGACTATGACCACCAACACCAAAACATTCATCTAAAGCTCACATTAAACTGAGAAAACCCTGAAGCTGTTCTGATGTGCATCGCATGCTCATGGACAGAAGCTGCTGAGACATGTTGTGTTGGGCGCGCACACAATAAATATTTTGGCTACAGCTCCATCCGAGGGGAAACTCTGTAGTCGATATTGATCCATTAAAATATGCCCGGATGAGTACTGTATCTGTACTTGGCACATTTTCAAATATCTAACTAAAAATGAATAGATGTGAAGCAGTTCATATATCCTTATGAACTGCTTATTTTGTTCATAAGGTGCTGCTATATTTAGTTTATTTTGTTGAGGAAAAAAGGACTGAAAACAGATTTTATTCGTGGATATTTGTTGAAAACAGATTTTATTCGTGGATATTTGTTGAAAACAGATTTTACTCGTGGATATTTGTTGAAAACAGATTTTACTCGTGGATATTTGTTGAAAACAGATTTTACTCGTGGATATTTGTTGAAAACAGATTTTACTCGTGGATATTTGTTGAAAACAGATTTTACTCGTGGATATTTGTTGAAAACAGATTTTACTCGTGGATATTTGTTGAAAACAGATTTTACTCGTGGATATTTGTTGAAAACAGATTTTACTCGTGGATATTTGTTGAAAACAGATTTTACTCGTGGATATTTGTTGAAAACAGATTTTACTCGTGGATATTTGTTGAAAACAGATTTTACTCGTGGATATTTGTTGAAAACAGATTTTATTCGTGGATATTTGTTGAAAACAGATTTTACTCATGGATATTTGTTGAAAACAGATTTTATTCGTGGATATTTGTTGATTTCTTGTAATAGTTCTGAAGGTTCTGCCTCAGATTTGTGAAGTGATCCGCTGTTTAAAACCACATTTAACTTTAATTTAGGAGCAAAAATTGGCCTTTAAACTTAAAGAACAAGTTGATGTTTATCCTGATAATTATCGATGTTTCATTGTGATAACGTTTTTGGCCGTATCTCCCAGCCCTAATGCAAAGTAGGGCTGAACACAAGGGGCAGCTGAGGGTTTGATGTTTTCAGTTGCTCTTTATTTCCCCGCTGTCTGATCCCTGCAGCCGGGAAACTGCTGAGGACTCCAAGAAAAAAGCACAACGAACAACAACGACGACGACGACGTAAAAGACTCGGGACGAGAGCTGCATCAGCGCCGTTCGCTCTCTATTAAAAAAGCTCTTAAAGACATCAGCCATTCAGCATCAGCCATTCAGCAGCCCGTGTGTGTGGAGGTCAAGAGGGTCGAGCAGCAGCCTCCAAAATAAAAGCCAGAGAAAAAAGAAATGTCAAGTGCCCAACGTTTAGACACCATATGGTCTGTGTGTGTCTGTGTGTGTGTGGTGGTCTATTGTTCATCAGGACCTTCTATTGGACAACACTGATGAATGTCCTACTGTCTGCACACGCACAGCGGTAGTCTAATTTAAAGGCATCATATCCAGTTAAAGCGACTGGAAAATGTTCTTTAAACAGGAACGAGATATTTAAATAAAAAAATAATGAGTTTATTTAGGAATTATCCACGGAGTAATATTTATATATCAGCTAATTATTTAGACCATAATATGTCTGAAATAAAAAAAATAGGAAGACAAAACAATGTGTGTGTATATAGATATAATCTGTACAAATAAAAGGCAAGCAGTACACACACACAGTACCCACAGCCCTTGAACTAATACTGCAGTACTGTCTGAGGTGAAGTACATGTAACATGATACAACATTAGAATAATAGATCATGTGATTAAGTAATGATTCTCCTTCTGTATTGCATAAATATATAATACAACAGTGTAGCGCGTTAACACAGGATATGACACATAATAAAAGGAGAGCTGGATTAATATATGGTAAAGTACAGCATGTAGCAAATAACGCTCCTCCCGCGGGTCACAGCAGGCTTCCCCCGCCGCCACTACGAAAATCACTGCGTAAAACTGTCACTATTTGAAATCTACACAGCTGATTTCTCACCTCAAAACTTCTCAGAAGTGGATTTAGTGATGAAATTCCACACGAAAACTGTAAAATATGTAATAATCTGGTGCAGCAATGATGATGCAGTGAATAGTGAATATTCTCTCTGACCAGTCAGCAGTCTGTCCTGTTTCCACGTCACATTTTAGTATCGCTCAGCTCGCTTGGAACATCGACGGAGGTGGAAAAAAGTACCTGGAAGCAGGAACAGGTGCAACTTTTCCACAGTAGAAAACCGAACAGAGTGTCGTGGAGCCGGTACCGTGCGGTGGAGAAGGGGCTCAACGGTTTCAGTTCTTATTTGAATATAACACACAGTATAAAGAATTTAGGAGCGCTGTGAAAAATGTAGCAGTTTATTAGCAATTTATTATCTACATCAGGACTGCAGCTAACGGGTATTTTAGTAATTGAGTCTTCTACAGATTATTCAATAATGTAACGTTGCAACCCAAACCAGTCAGACAACAAACAACGCACCTTTCTACATTTATAGCCAAGACCTGAGCCTTACCTTTGCTAACCTTCATCCCAACTAACCATCATGATGCCGGTTAAATGCTAACGAGAAGCCGCTTTTCTCAGCCGCAGATCTCTTTTCAAGGAACTAAAAGGTTCCCGCGGTCCACTGTTGTGTGCGTTTCCACCGCGGTCTAAAGATTAGGTGAATTAACCGGCTGACGTAGGCTGTAGGCTGTAGGCCTGCACGCCGTACGCAGAGATGCACAGGCATCATTATTTGTAACCGCTATCCATGAGCAACGTTTTATAAACAGACATCAGCTTTGATGTAATACAGTGAAAAACTACAGGCTGTGTTTGACCGTTAAAGCAGCTGTTTTAGTTAATGAAGAGACACACGATGAAGATCAAGCTCTTAAAATCAGTCCAGCACAGAGAAAGCAACACAAAAATGAAGCGGCGACAGTTTGGAAGGTTTTTAAAACATTTCCAGCCGGATCAGCTGCAGCATCACGTCCGTGTCACCTGAGCGTCGGAGGAACGGGATGTTTAACGAGCTTTATTACCTGCTGTAATCAGCTGCTCTGTTTGTTTTGGAGAGGAGGAGACTGACTTCAGCTCTGACTGATGAAAACTTAAACAACTCTGGACCCAGTATTTAGCTAAACTCCAGCAGCTGTTCGCTGTAAACCCACCGCCGCACGCCGGCTGCTGTTTCCCAGCAACACATTTAATGCCGACGTTCAATCTCAGGCGACGTCGGCAAGACTCGTGTAGCACCTTACTCTCGGAAAGTACTACCCCCCCCCCTCATCGTCTCCCTGCACTGTGAATGTTCAATAAAAACATGATAAATGAGTAAAGTGTTGGTTTAAGCAGACGTTTGTGTCTCTTGTGAAGATCAGATCACATTTTATGACCAATTTATGAGGAAATCCAGGTGATTTACATCCTGTTTCCTGTGACTGTATTTTTACTCCCTGAAACAAACTCCTGACTCGTGTTTCATTTTTTTTACCGTCCAGTTCTCAGGCCGTCATCGATCAGACTTCCTTCACCTTAGAATAACGGTTCACTTACAGAAACATACGGGACTCGAGCTCTGATCGATCTGCAGCCCTTCAGCACACTCACTTAAAGTTCAGTATTCACTGCCAGTGTATTTTTGACTGAAGCCGCATCAAGCAGCACAGAGCAGATGAGCCAGGCAGGCAGTCAGACACGGCTGGGGATCGAGACCTGCTTCCAAAATATCTCAAAACCCAAAAATCAATAAGGTTCGAGCGTATCGATGCTGCTATCGAGACTTGCGGGTCCTATGATGTAACGTTATGTCTCGAGCGTCAAATCTGATTTAATTTGAAGCCGTTTCAATGAGGGTATCAATATCAGTAAAAATTAACGATCCCCATCCCTAGACACGGCATGGAGAATCCGGTCAGTTTCAAAATAAAAGCCCTTCACAGTTAAAACAGACAAATAAAAGAAACAATTGAACTACGTAGCTACTTAACCACGGTAGAAGCACAGAAATCAAGGACAAATGAACAAATAAGTAAAATCTGAACAAGTCAGCAAGATCTGACGAGCAAAACGCTCTTATTCTGAAGTGCTCCACGTGGCCCGCAGAGAGCTGTTATCTGTAGGTGAAGCACACAAAATGACACGTTAACACCACGTTAACAACGTGCAGGCTAAGCGCTGCTGAAACGCTTCACTGGGAGTTGATGCCCGTGTCTGTTGGGCCGGCGCCGTTATCCCACGTTTCCTCCAGTTTCGTTTGTTGTTGTAAAATGTACACTCCCTGTGCACGCTCTGATCGGTGAGAAGGACCGTAACAGGAGGCGCACGGCGCAGCTCTGTCACACAAGGACGACAACGGCATGAGTCTGTGACTGCGTGACGGGTCAGACGCTGTGTCGGACGCTGAGCGCTCTGCAGCAGGACGTGTTACAGGTGATAATCGGATGTGTGTTTTTTTTGTAGGTGGAGAAACCATCAAGAGTATTAACCAGCAGTCTGGGGCTCACGTGGAGCTGCAGAGGAACCCTCCCCCCTCCACCGACCCCAACACCCGGGTCTTCACCATCAGAGGCACCGCCCAGCAGATGGACCTGGCACGCCAGCTCATAGACGACAAGATCGGGGTACGCTAAACAAACGCACCTCAATACATTCAATACGCTCATTTTCTTCATTAAGATGTTTATTTTGGTGAGGAAAAAGGACTGAAAAAAGCTTTTACTTGATTTTCCTCGTGCATATTTGTTGACAAAGATTTTATCCTAAATGTTTTGAACGTTCTGCCTCAGATTTGTGAAGTGATCCGACCGTAAAGAAAAGTTTAAACCACAATTAACCATCAGGTTTCTTCAACTTTCACTCAGGAGCAAAAATCAGCCTTTAAACCCGAGAGAAATAAAGATTTGATATTTATTGCGATAATTATCGAAAGAGATCGTGATAACATTTTTGGCGCTGTGTTGGTTACTAATCCAAGTAACGCTGCGTTACTGAACGCACCATCCTTGACGTGAATGCGGGACTGCGCGGCTGTAAGTAGCTGCTGCCATCATCATTGTCATCTAGTGTAAACTCTGAAAGCTTTCAGCCGTGAACATTTCTACATCTGATTTATTGAAGCGTCTGCTGAAGCAGCGACGTTCACAAAGAAACTCCGGCAGCTGCTGTCACTGATGCTGGACTCGTCCGCAGAGAGCGGCGTTAACGTAACGTTTAATAACTGCTCTTATAAACGGGCTACATGTGCAGAAAAACAGCTGTTTAAAAGTCGGGATTTACTCGCTTTATTTATTAATTTCAGCCGGTGGCGTTGGGAAACGTTATGCCCAGACTATATGCTCTGTAAAAACCACACTCCCTGCTGCTGTTATGAACATGATGTTAGTTAAAAAGTGAAGAGAGGCTTTGTTTGGGGGTGAAGGGAGTAGGGAACGCAGCGTTTCCCATAAGTAGCCTATAATTTGGAGAATTATCAACGCGGACCGCCACATTTTGATGTTCTAATTTTTTACCAGGAGTATTTAAAATCATATTTGATTGAGGAGGAGGAGCATATATTCGTGCAGCACCTCCTCGCTCTCTTCTGAGCTCCTCGCTCTCTTCTGAGCACCGCTGCACAAACCTGTCCAAAGTTAGAATATGATTATTCCTCTCTGACCTGCAGACAGCAGCTGTCGAGTTACGAAACGATAACGTGCTTTTTGACAGATGTTAAGAGAAAATCAAACCTTTTCTGAACTTTAATGATGTAAACGTGACGACGTGTGAGGTCGCATTTGTCTTTAGATGTGTCACAATTTGAGATGAAGACTACAGACTACAGGCCTGGAGTCTTAAACTTCCTGATTTGTTTCACTGGTTTCTGCTTTTCCTTCAGACTGAAACACCGCAGAGCGTAAAACACTTTAACTTTAAGAAGTCGGTGCCGTGTATTATTTTATAAATAGGCTGCATTTCGACAGACATTTCGACAGACGTGTTGCAGAAGACACTTACATGTTAACCCCTGCAGTTAAAAATGCACCAGCTGTTAGTCATTGCTTAGTGCCTTTTGTTATCACCAAACTCCACTCAAAAATCATGCTATTTAAGTGACTGATTTACTGACAAAAACACACTTATGTCATCTCTGATCTCAGACAAACACACATGGTACAGAGACACAGTTAATGTGTCGCAGCTTTAAGGTGGAACGGGTTCATATAACATTTACCTTCTCTCTCCTCTTCAGGGCTCGGGCATCATGAGTAACGGAGGTTTTGGCTTCAGTCCCTTCACCCAGGGCCCCGCTACACACCAGAAGTAAGACGCTCGCATAACCACACACATACTCTGAGGTGGTCAGATTGTGTGATAAACACAAAGTGCGTGAAGGTTTTTTGCAGCAACGCTTCATATTGAGTTTATTGAGAGCTTTTACTTTGAAAGGTTGTAAAAGCCGCCAGTAAACGTGTGATTAGTAGGGATGCTGCAGTAGCAGAAATTCAGTAGTCGAGACCGACACCAGGGAAATCCAACGATTCTCGGCACCAAATTCGATTCCACGGTAAACTAAATAATAAATGCAATGTAAAATGATCAGGTGTGGCTGCTCAGTGTAGGCAAAAATCATAATCACCATTAATTTGGTCATAATCGAAATCACGATTACTGATTGACTTAGGAAACATCATAAACAGCATTTATGGAACGTATTTTTTCTTAATGATTATGCGTTGTCCAAAAGAGCCCAGAAAATAGGAAATAGTAATCAAATGTTTAAAGGCGTCGTAGAGCCGAGGGGGAGACAACAAGACCGCTACGCTAATTTCTGCAGTAGGCTGAAGCGAGCAGGTTGTAGCGATTATCCCCCCCCCCCCCCCCCCCCTGTGTTGGCTCAGGCTGAAGTAAACATCAACAACAATAATCGTTTTAATTCGATTAACGTGTTTTCATGATCGTTGGAAGCCAAAATCTAAATTGATTAAATTTTGATTAATTGCAGAGCCCTGCTCAGCTCGACGCTTGTTTGTGTTTCAGGCATTAGTTAGTGTCGACCTGCTGAGGAAACCTCGTGTATTGATCACGTCTGCCCGAGTCAAACTAGTGTTGTAGTTCTCCAGACCGGTCTTTTTGATGGTCTCGGACCCGACCGCATTTGGACTCGGTCTCGTCTTGGACATTGAGGACTCTGGATTTTATTTCAAGACCATAAATCAATAAGTTGTTTTGCATTGTCAGATTTATTTGTTAACATCCTAACTTCAGAACTTCGGTTGCTTCAAACTCAACCAATAACGCGAATTAAAAATGTGTTGTTCCTGTTAACGACTGCTTCTTCTCTATTTATTTGACCGTTCCGAAACGAATGACTGTTTATGATGCAGCTGTACAGAGTGCTGTGCGACCTGTCACCACGTAATGAAGTCATAAAGGTCAAAGTAGATCTGTTCTGTACGTGTTTGTGTGACGGTGCGCTGCAGGCTGTGTTGTATTGAGTTGTGTTGTGTTGTGTGCAGCTGTGGCAGTGGTCAGACCTTCCTGACTGGCGTTTGGGGAAACACCTACCAGACCAGCTGGCAGAACCCTGGACAACAAGACCCCGGTAACACACACACCCCTACCCACTGTACATAACAACACACACACACACTCGCGTGTTTTCAAGGTACAAACCAGTTCACAGGGCAGAGACGAGGCGTCAAGGTGTGTTAGACAGTCCGGCAGTTAAGACTCTCTTTGTGGGGCTCAGGCAGGACAGATGGACACGTGAGGAAAGACTGCCGAACGAGCGGCCCGTCGGGAAGTAGGGCTGCACGATTTGAAGAAAAAGTCTTTTTATTGTGATTATAATGAAAGAAATGGTACTCTGAGGCTACTTGCTTAATTAAGGAATGCACGAAATGACGCTCTAATCCCAAACTCCTTTCAGTTGCTATATATGTGAGAGGTCGCACGCCTCTGGAGCAACTAGACGCTGGTAAAGTGTCTCGCTCAGTGACACATTGGTGGATGTATCATCTCTCAAACCAATTGGTTCTCATGAACATCCGCCTCCTCGTCCAGATATTGCCATTCAGTAGTCTACCTCTGAGCCGTCACTTTCAAATGCCACTTATTCAAATGTAGGAATGACCGTGATGCTGCACACAGCAGCACTTGGGGGGTCTCGTATGTCTAGGAGGTCCAACACATCTGATAGTTTCAAAATGTTTGGAAATAAACAGATAACTGGGATCACAGCCAAAACCTGAGTTTCCACAATTGTGACTGTTAACAGATTTACACCTCTCAGGAGCAAAATCTATATGCAGGAGTATAATTCTCAAAATACACTGCTCAAAAAAATAAAGGGAACACTAAAATAACACATCCTAGATCTGAATGAATGAAATAATCTCATTAAATACTCCCTTTCTTTACATAGTTGAATGTGCTGACAACAAAATCACACAAATTATCAATGGAAATCAAATTTATCAACCCATGGAGGTCTGGATTTGGAGTCCCACTCAAAATCAAAGTGGAAAACACTACAGGCCGATCCAACTTTGATGTAATGTCCTTAAAACAAGTCAAAATGAGGCTCAGTAGTGTGTGTGGCCTCCACGTGCCTGTATGACCTCCCTACAACGCCTGGGCTCCTGATGAGGTGGCGGATGGTCTCCTGAGGGATCTCCTCCCAGACCTGGACTAAAGCATCCGCCAACTCCCGGACAGTCTGTGGTGCAACATGGCGTTGGTGAATGGAGCGAGACATGATGTCCCAGATGTGCTCAGTTGGATTCAGGTCTGGGGAACGGGCGGGCCGGTCCATAGCATCAATGCCTTCCTCTTGCAGGAACTGCTGACACTCCAGCCACATGAGGTCTAGCATTGTCTCGCATTAGGAGGAACCCAGGGCCAACCGCACCAGCATCTGGTCTCACAGGGGGGTCTGAGGATCTCATCTCGGTACCTAATGGCAGTCGGGCTACCTCTGGCGAGCACATGGAGGGCTGTGCGGCCCCCCAAAGAAACGCCACCCCACACCATTACTGACCCACCGCCAAACCGGTCATGCTGGAGGATGTTGCAGGCAGCAGAACGTTCTCCACGGCGTCTCCAGACTCTGTCACGTCTGTCACATGTGCTCAGTGTGAACCTGCTTTCATCTGTGAAGAGCACAGGGCGCCAGTGGCGAATTTGCCAATCTTAGTGTTCTCTGGCAAATGCCAAACGTCCTGCACGGTGTTGGGCTGTAAGCACAACCCCCACCTGTGGACGTCGGGCCCTCGTACCACCCTCATGGAGTCTGTTTCTGACCGTTTGAGCAGACACGTGCACATTTGTGGCCTGCTGGAGGTCATTTTGCAGGGCTCTGGCAGTGCTCCTCCTGCTCCTCCTCGCACAAAGGCGGAGGTAGCGGTCCTGCTGCTGGGTTGTTGCCCTCCTATGGCCTCCTCCACGTCTCCTGATGTACTGGCCTGTCTCCTGGTAGCGCCTCCGTGCTCTGGACACCACGCTGACAGACACAGCAAACCTTCTTGCCACAGCTCGCATTGATGTGCCATCCTGGATGAGCTGCACTACCTGAGCCACTGTGGGTTGTAGACTCCGTCTCATGCTACCACTAGAGTGAAAGCACCACCAAAACCTCAGCCAGGAACTGAGAAGTGGTCTGTGGTCACCACCTGCAGAACCACTCCTTTATTGGGGGGGTCTTGCTAATTGCCTATAATTTCCACCTGTTGTCTTTTCCATTTGCACAACAGCATGTGAAACTGAATTGAAGTGGACAGTTTGATTTCACAGGAGTGTGACTGACTTGGAGTTACATTGTGTTGTTTAAATGTTCCCTTTATTTTTTTGAGCAGTGTATTTCAGTAGTAGACACTTAAAAGAATATATGTACAAAATATGACAGTTCTATCTGTTAGTTAAGGTGTTTTACTTACTACTTTTTGTTGTAGTCTGAGGAAGACATCTTCTTCCAGGTGTGCAAGCAGGAAGTAAACTAATCTGGTCATGTGACCTTTCACACGAGTCACATGATATTGATCAGTTTTAATCAAGACCATCTTTTTTTTAAATTTTATTTAAAAGTTGAATTTCTTGCACAAAGCCAACAACACACCTTTCTGAGCGAATGTGACCGGTGGGATTAGACGGGTTAACGGCCGCCCGCCCGGTATAGTAACGCCCGCCCGCCTGGTATAGTAACGGCCGCCCGCTTGGTATAGTAACGCCCGCCCGCTTGGTATAGTAACGCCCGCCCGCCTGGTATAGTAACGGCCGCCCGCTTGGTATAGTAACGCCCGCCCGCTTGGTATAGTAACGCCCGCCCGCTTGGTATAGTAACGCCCGCCCACCCGGGTATATTAACGCCCACCCGCCCGGGTATATTAACGCCCGTCCGCCCGGGTATATTAACGCCCGCCCGCCTGGTATATTAACGCCCGCCCGCCTGGTATATTAACGGCCGCCCGCCTGGTATATTAACGGCCGCCCGTCTGGTATATTATGGTATAGTAACGCCCGCCCACCCGGGTATATTAACGCCCGCCCGCCTGGTATATTAACGGCCGCCCGTCTGGTATATTATGGTATAGTAACGCCCGCCCACCCGGGTATATTAACGCCCGCCCGCCTGGGTATATTAACGCCCGCCCACCCGGGTATATTAACGCCCGCCCGCCTGGTATATTAACGGCCGCCCGTCTGGTATATTATGGTATAGTAACGCCCGCGCACCCGGGTATATTAACGCCCGCCCGCCTGGTATATTAACGGCCGCCCGTCTGGTATATTATGGTATAGTAACGCCCGCGCACCCGGGTATATTAACGCCCGCCCGCCTGGTATATTAACGGCCGCCCGTCTGGTATATTATGGTATATTAACGCCCGCCCGCCTGGTATATTATGGTATATTAACGCCCGCCCGCCTGGTATATTAACGCCCGCCCACCCGGGTATATTAACGCCCGCCCGCCTGGTATATTAACGGCCGCCCGTCTGGTATATTATGGTATATTAACGGCCGCCCGCCTGGTATATTATGGTATATTAACGGCCGCCCACCCGGGTATATTAACGGCCGCCCACCCGGGTATATTAACGGCCGCGTGATGTATTGGTTTTGTGGTTGCTTGAACGTCCCGGCTGCCCTTAGAGGTGCTGATGATCCAGTACGTTCAGTGTAAACGCTGTCACACTTACCGTCTGGTTTTGTGTTTGTAGGTCAGCAGAGCCAGCCTCAGAGCTTGATGACAGACTACAGTAAGGCCTGGGAGGACTACTACAAGAAACAAAGTACGACGTCTCTCTGTCCGTCTACTCCCTGTAACAACAGGAGGGTGGAGCTTGTCTTTCTGATTGATTGGGATTTCAGTTCATTTAGTGTGTAAATTCTAGATAGATCTATACAAAAGGTGACAGGAAGCAGCATGAAGGGGTTAAGGCACCAAAACTACTGGCTTAGATTAAAGAAAACATCACGTTTGGGTTAAATTAAGTAGCCTACCTTACTTATATGACTTAAGTTACTTATCTAACATCACTAAAAGGAACAAGGTCTCCTGGGTGAAACCACCCGTCCACCCACCTCTAGCCTCCTTTTAGCGTTGAACAATGAAGGGCTCCCCCCCCCGGGGTGTTGAACTATGACACGAAAGGCTGCCATGTGCGTCCCCAAAGGACGTGACAAAGCGTAGCTGTTTGGCGCTCTGGGAATGAGAACACGCCGTCTGAGCTGTCTGTATTCAATGACACTACGCCGAACCTGCAGCTTCTCTGCTTTACGGAGCTTTAGAGCTTCTCTCAGCTCGCTGTTTATCTGCCCGGCTGCAGCTTTCATGGTCAGGCTCGCTCTCAACGCCTGAATGGCGTCATTTCCAGAGAAGAAGCTGTAAAAAGCCGCCGTACACGAGCAGCTGACTCGGTCAGAGAGCAGCTGGTGAACATGGTGGAGCATTTAGCAGCTACAGAGCCAGAGGTTTCCCTCAGCAGCTGGTGGAGACCAAACACAGAGCTAACAGAGAGAGAACACTGGACTCGCCTTCATCAGGTGACACAAACGCCATCGTGCCGCTCTGTAGCTCGGCATGTCGGCTTAAAGGTGATGTTATTTTTTTAAACGCGTCCTCATGTTGCTCTGTGTGTCTGCAGGTCAGTCGTCTCAGCAGAGTTCGGTGCCAGACTACACTGCAGCGCTAGCAGAATACTACAGACAGCAGCCCTACATGTGGAACCCCGCCCAGATACAGGTAACACACAGGAAGCTGATCAGGGACCTGCCGGCTCACCTGAAGTTCACCTGTTGCAGGCTGTGGTTTGTAGTTTAGTCGAGACAAATTTTATTCTCCCACTCATGTATTAAATCCATTAATCCATCCACTAGCTGCAGTGCAAACAACAGTCTTCGTTCTGTCAGTAGGAAGTCATTATCTTCTACCTGCAGGCTGAAGGTCAGAAGGCTAACGATGAGTTTCATTATCGATCAATCTGTCGATCATTTTCACGATTAATTGATCAGTTTTTTTGGTCTATGAAAAGTCAGAAAATGGTGAAAAACATTGATCAGTGTTTCCTAACGATGGCATCCTCAAATGTTTTGTCCAAAACCCAAAGAAATTCAGTTTACTGTCACATAGGACGAAATAAAACAGTGAATATCCAACGAAGGTTAAAATCAAGGGCAACTGGACTTGGTTGAAGATACTGGAAGACGTTTCATACCTGAAGAAGTCCTTTGGATGAGGGACGAAACGTCTTCCAGTATCTTCAACCAAGTCCAGTTGCCCTTGATTTTAACCTTCGTTGGATAACTATGACCTGGATGACTGAGAATCTTCATAGACAAAACAGTGAATATTTACATTTAAGAAGCTGGAATTAGAGAAATTGGACTTTATTTCTAATAAAAATGACTCGATTATTGGATTTTAAAAATAGTTGGCAATTAATTTAATAACTGACAACTGAGCGATTAATTGGCTTATCGTTGCAGCTCTAGTGCTCAGTGCAGGCCAGTATGGCGTGGGCCCATCTTTCGACCTGTGAGAGCTGTGCTGCTACTGGGCGCTCCGACTAACCGACTGGGTTCAGATTCAGGTTCCCAAACCACGCAAACAAGACAAAACGACAGCACAGACCCAACAAGACGTTGCTGTACCCTCTTAGAAACGTCAGCTGCTGTTGTCGAAACCAGTAACCCCGATCACCTGTGAACAACACTGAACAACGATGTCATTTCCTGTCTCTTTAGGATCACTAGAGGCTCCTCCCATCACCCGGCGAAGGCCTCGGATGGTCGTCGGCGGCCACCGGATCGGGGTTTCTAGCAACGCTCTGCCGCTTCCTCCTTCCTTTTTTTGTAGAGAAAAACTAAGGATTAACTGAAAATCACGAACTCTCTCTTCTTTCTGTTTTTTAACCTTACAAAGTTGATATTTTGTCGGGCAGATTTTTTGGGACTAGCCTCTGGTCTCTCTCTCCACAGTGTAGACCTGATTTTTTGTTTTTGTTTTTGTTTTTTATCAAACTTGAACTTAAAGATGTATCAGTGTGGCTTTGAACAAAAACAAAAAAATCCAGTATAATCTATATTTTGTCTAGTTTTATTTTCCAATAAGAAAACGGTATGAGGCTTAGCAGTCTTGAGTAAGAAAATCAGATATTATTATTATTATTATTATTATTATTTTGTTGATAATGTTTTAAAGCATGCGACAGATTGTGTGTTGACTCTCAGTTATTACTTTTTTTTTTGGCATAGAAATATTTTAATAGCGTCAGATGGAAATTTAATGTTTTACCGTCAGAGACAAAACTGTTTTTTTGTACTAAATTTGTGCTCGCTGGGTCTTTGTTCTCGATCTAATTTTACCTGTTTAGTCGCCATCTTGGAGGTGCAATGACGCGTTTATTGTTTTCTTTTGGTTTGATGACAGTTCTTATTCCTGTATCTCTATAGTGATTCTTTAGTTTTTATGATGTAATGATGAATAAATGACGATTTATATTGCGTTGTCTAAAGCCAGATCTCTCTGTGGTCAAACACTTTGTGTCCTCCGCAGGATTTAAACTCCACCCCCCGCCTCAACTTTCATTACAAAGAAGGCGGAAATGACTGTTTTCTTACAGAGTGAAACTTTATTATTGTTGTTGTAACTTAGTTCTGCATTTCTACTTTGCCGATTTGTTTGTAAGAATAAGTGTTAGGAGCTGAGCAATGAAGTTATCGATCCTATTAGCAATTTGTTTGGGCAAACGAGCGCGTTAGCTGAATGCACAAGTTAGCTGAACGATGTTTGTTAGTGACGAAGATGTGTGTTACCTCAACTGTGTGTTAGCTGTGTGAATGTGGTGGTTCTGTAAGCTGTAGTGTGCGTGCGTGTTAACTAAATGTTAGGAGAACCAACGATCTGTTAAGCTAAATGGTGCGTGTTAGCTGAATGTAGACGTTAAATCTCTCTCGGTGAAAAGATGTGGCGTCTGAACTGTATGACTCTTCTCGATGAACAAGTTTTGTTATTTGAATGGATGTTGTGGCTCAACCGTTATGTGTGTGTGTGTGTTAGCTGGATGCGAAGCTATTTAGTTAAGCGTGCGCTAACTTAATTGCGTAATGCTGCACTCACGACATATCGACAGGTGATAAGAAACATCCACGTCCGCCTCCTGGTGGCAACAAAAGTCGGAGATAATTTGAATTTTCTACAGCTAAAATATGATGAACACAACTGTCAGCAAACTGACTCCAAAGAACCCCAGCCGAAACACTAATATTATCCATTTTGCTAATTAGAAAGAAGCTGTTTGCATCTAATTTTACTTGCTAACGAAGTGCCGTAACAATGTGAAATGATTAAACATAGTTAATTTAGGTTTAATATCCATTTCAGTGGCTAGCAAACGGGGTAACATCTTTAAACAATGTGTCAGTGTGCCTGAATTATCCCTGATCCTCCTGACGTGGTGTGAATGCAGCATTAGCTGAATGTCCGTTAGCTAAACGGTGTGTATGTTAGCTGTACTGTGTGTGTTAAGGCTGGGTTAGGCTTCTCCAACAGTTTGGGTGGCTATTTTATATATTTACAAACGTGAAGATATTCTTTTGCTTTTCCTTTTTCGAGCCCGAGACGTTTGTGCACCTTCGCCGAGCGTGTAACTCCAGCCTTAGCCGTATGTTTGTTAGCATTGTGTGTTTTCTGATGTGTATTTCTGTGCGTTAGCTGAGCGTCGTGTGTGTGTGTGTGTGTGTGTGTGTCGGACCACAGAGAGGTTTGCCTTGTGTTGAGGGGAGATCTGGCTGTTGTTGAGTTGAATATTGAATCAGTGGTTATGCTTCTTGTATGTGTGACGATGATGATGATAATAATAATAATGACGACGATAATAATGAGTTCTCCTGTACAGGGGGTCTATTTAAATCTGTTCATCCAGTTATGAATATTCAGTTTGTCTATAAGATAATATGGTTTGTGTAAATTTCCACTCTCTGGCGGGTGCTCTCCAGTTTAAAAGTGTGCTTTGTTATCCTGTTTAAAAATGAGATTGTTTAATTCACATGTTGTGTCTAACCGATTTTTGCAAAGAGAAGCTATGTTATATTCTCAAGACTGCTAGGCTAACTGTCTCTATCTCTTCTCCTCGTCTTTCCGTCTGTCTGTCTGGACGCCGCCACGTTAAAAAAAAAAAAGAAAAGTTGTCGGGTCTCTTTTTTTTTCCAACACGTCTGTAATTGGACCATGTGACTACACGGGCGTGTTGAACGGTCCCGTTTGTTAGCGTGGCGGCTCCGGGGCGAGGAGAGCTGTAGTGAGGGGGTTTTTACTCCCCGTAAAATTATATTAAAAAAACAAAAAACACCGGAGTGGGCGGTGAACTGGTGTCCAGGTCCAGGCGCGGCGTGGACTCTAACGAGCTGGACTGGGTCCCGAACCAGCTGGGCAGCGAGGTCACACATAGCCTCCCGGCGCCCCAGAACCAGGACTAGACACGACACCACCCATCCCACTCCGGTTTAGATCTTCCTAGTCCCGACCCCTGGTCCTGAAGGGGTGACGGGGAGCTTTTTGGTTTCATGGTTTCTGTTGTTTTTCTAATGGACAGACGTCCTAACTGTAACCTGCAGATTTTTCTATTAGATTCTATTGACAGATAAAGTTGTGTATGAACCCGAGCCACGAGACTGTCGGTGGCCGAGGAAGAGGAAGATGGATGATGATGATGATGATGATTAACATGAGGGCTAATAAACAGGCTCATTCTTTCTGACTGGCTGTGTTTTTATCTCCTGATCGACAAAAACTAAAAAATGAAATGTGAACTTAACTTGAGCCAAACTGTTTTGGCAAAAGTGGCCAGAAAGTCCTGGAAAAGTACAAGATCTCAGGCTGCACGCCAAAGTGACTCAGGACGGATGTGTTTGATCACGGTGTGAACAACTCGCATGGACTGCTCCAGTTCAGGTTTGAGCTACTTTCATTATGTGGTTCAAATCAGATACAGGTCGGATTTTTTTTTAAATGCGACCTCGGTCTGGACGGTCAGATCGAACTTCATGCGACTCTGACGTCACTCTATAGCGGCCGTCGCCACAGCGGGAGCCCGACGCAAACACACATGCTAACCTTCCCGAGTTTCCTCCCGGGGGCCTCAATTCTCCTGATTTGTCGCATCACGCTCTAACAACATGGGGGTGGCGATGGATAAGATAAGGTGCTGTTAACCCCTTGTTGCTCATATATAGCATATGCAAGTCGCTTTGGATAAAAGCGTAAATGTATATTTCTCTTAATTTATGACAGCTTTTCACTGCATTTATCACGGTTTCTGACTCTGTACATCACGTGTAGACGTTTCCAGCCGGACAGCTAGCGTGCACGTGACCTGCCAGAGTCCCCTCAACTGACTGACGGACACCACCCTCTACTCAGCCTGTGATTGGCTGACCCTAAACTACAGAGACAACGAGTACAAACCAGAGGCAGAGTTGTTGAAACTCTGGCGGGAAAAAATTAATATTTACGTACGACAGCGGGCTGCGTGTGTTGTATTATTATTTTGCACACGCGGGTCTCTTTCAGGCTGTGGCCTGTTCACACTGGAGTCTGATATGGAACGCATTTTAAAAAAAAATAGCAAACTGTCCATCAAAACAAATCGGACCTGGGCAATAAATGGGAATTGAACATTAACACATGCAGATTGAATGTAGCTGAAGTTTTCCTGAAAAATGTGTAACATAATGACCCGGTTACTGTTTGAACCCGTCAAAGGGATCACATGACACCTAAATCTGTGACATCCAGAACGACGTGAAGCTGAAATCTGATGGTTTTCATGTTTATCTATGTAATGGAATAAACAAACAAGATCTAATGTGTTAATCAGCGATCTTCATGTTTCCCCTGTTTCTGGTCCTTATGCTAAGCTAAGCTAGCCATCTGCTGGCTGTAGCCTTATGTTTACTGGACAGAAGTAAAGCTAGTGCAATAAAAAGCAAAGCCAAGTTTGCTACATCTGAATAACAAAAGTCGGACTTAAAATTCAGGATTTCGTGTGCCTGTTTTGCTGCTTCTCTCTTTATTGTCTTTGGTGAACCTTGACCTGTGAATCAGTTGACAGAGTTGACCTCTGATTGGTTGGACAGTCCAACATGTAGGAAGCTATCATAGCTTATTAGCTGTGCGTCACCGTCCAGATTTACTGAAGCTCCTCTGTCAGAGTAAAACTGTCAGGAGGCAGGAAGACCTGTAAAGTTGGTGCTGATGTGAGCATGTACACTGAACAACTTCTTGTTTCATGGCGAATCATTGATATTCAACGCCACAGACACACCCTCTGATGAAAAGTCACAGATAGCACATCTTTTCATCAACAATGCCTTCAGATTGCACAGCTATTTTAAGTTGATCTGATTAATTCTTTAGGAGGAGTTCGTTAAAGTACAGAATTGAATTTTGTGAAGTTTCGTGAGTTTTCGAGCATGTTTAGGCCGCAAAATATTGTGCTTCATTTTGCAAGAATAAAGTTTCAATAGGGTCCTCGCACCTTTTGTCTTCAGGCCCTAAATATAAAGAAGCTCAGAGAGCTAGCACGTTAGCGCTCCAGCTGCAATATTAAAACTAAAACTAAATATTTCATGAGATAAACTTCACTTTGCTGCTTTCTGGTCGAGCTGTAGTCGTGTGTGTGTGTTTTAGACTGACTCGGGGTCAGTGTGTCTGAGCTGCTTCGCTGCATCTCTTCACGTCCTGACATGAAAAGTGGGATTTATCATTTATTCATGTTCCCAGAGCGGAGACAGATGGTCTGACCGGCGGCGTGATGTCATCTGTCATTAAGACGTTACTGTAATCACACACTCACAGATACACACCTACTGACCTCTGGGGATGAATGAAACCGCTCTGAGCCTGCAGCTTAGTTCCCAGTGAACGATGGTAAAACCTCTCTGGTTAGCTTAGCTTAGCATAAAGACTGGAGACGGAAGGAAACGGCTAGCCTGGCTCTGTCCACAGGTAACAAACCCAGCGGGCAGATCTCAGTGATGACGTTGCATCTGGTTCATTTCACCTGTGCTGGAGTCTCTGTGTCTCTCTGTGTCTCTCTGTGTGTCTCTGTGTCTCTGTGTGTCTCTGTGTCTCTGTGTCTCTCTGTGTCTCTCTGTGTGTCTCTGTGTCTCTGTGTGTCTCTGTGTCTCTGTGTGTCTCTGTGTCTCTGTGTGTCTCTGTGTCTCTCTGTGTCTCTGTGTGTTTCTTTGTGTCTGTGTCTCTGTGTGTCTCTCTGTGTCTGTGTCTCTGTGTGTCTCTTTGTGTCTGTGTCTCTTTGTGTCTGTGTCTGTGTGTCTCTCTTGTCTCTGTCTGTCTCTTTGTGTCTGTGTCTGTCTGTGTCTCTGTGTCTCTCTTTGTGTGTGTGTCTCTGTGTGTGTGTGTCTCTGTGTGTCTCTGTGTGTGTGTGTCTCTGTGTGTCTCTTGGTGTGTGTGTCTCTGTGTGTCTCTGTGTGTCTCTGTGTGTGTGTGTCTCTGTGTGTCTCTTGGTGTGTGTGTCTCTGTGTGTCTCTGTGTGTCTCTGTGGTCAGAGAGTACAGGAAGTGGTTCTGTAAGTACAGCTAAACTGTGTCAGACCTGATTAAACATTTACGTGATGGAGATCTGGATCGGGCCCAAATGTTTCCCATGATGCTCAGGGGTCCCCTGCAGCACTAAACCGTCTCCCTGCTCGGCCAGAAGTTTGTGGACAGCTGTCCGCGTCTCTCAGTGACTCCGTGTCTGTTAACCTGCTGCAGGGATTTAGTGTGTGGAAACCACGTATCTCCAAAAGGTCAGGCGTGTTGGGTTTAACGGTTTCTTTCTCCCAGAAAGGAACTTCAAACTCAAAACACACGGAGATACAGGGATTTTATTTGGCAGGAAACAAACTACATGATACAATCTGTAGTTTTATGTGTTTTCTGATGCGGCTGCAGCATGACGTTTGTTTCTAATCTGCCGCCTCTGGAGAAGCTTCAGTTATTATGAGCGGTCACCAGTTTTTCTTTTAATATTTGTATTTTCCACAGATTCTACTACTGATGGTTGTAGAACTCTAGACCAGGATCAGGAGTCTCTGTAAAGGGGAGAGTTTAGACACCACACGTCTTTTTCTTTGTCACTTTTTAAAGGATGCATTACAGGTATGATCAGGTGAGGAGTGATTGACAGCACAGTGGATCAAACTGTTTTAAATATCTGTAGACATTAAAACATATTAGAACTAACTGCATCCTTCTTTTCAGGAAACGTAATGGGGGCTTTAAGGAGGCGCTGCTGATGAAGATGCTGATGAAGATGCTGATGAAGATGCTGATGAAGATGCTGAAAACAGACACCCTGCAGAAGAAGAAGGAGCGTTTGATTTCTCCTCCCAGCAGCTGACAGTCTGCTGCTGTTATTAAAACGCCTTTAAAGGAGGATTAGCAGCTCTGAATGCTGATGAGGCCATTTGGGCTCATTCCCACCACCTCCTACTCCTCCTCCTCCTCCTCACTCCTTTTTCTCTCCATCCCCTGTCCACAGGACTCGTTCTCCTCTTTCTTGTTGTCTTTCTCTCCTTACCTCCTCTCTCCCCCCTCCCATCCCCATTCATCCTCCTGTCCTCTCTCTCTCCTCCTCTCCTCCTCTCCCCTTTCTGTCCTCTCTCTCTCCTCCTCTCCCCTCTCCTTCTCCTCTTACTCTTATCTCCTTCTGTCCTCTCCCCTCTGTCCTCCTCCTGTTGTCCTCTTGTCTTTACGCGTGCCAGTCACCTGCCGCTCCCTCCTCCTCCTGACTTCCCGTCGTCTTTTCGGACTAAGTGTTTTGTGATTGGCTGTTAGTGAGCGGGTATAAAGGGGAGAGGACACCGGGACACTCTCTCTGAGGGCTTTTTGTTGTAGAAAGCTCATTAAAGCGTGTCCTCCTTCAATAAAGACGCGGCTCTCCATTAATAAACTCCCGCTCGGCCCGCGTGCGTGGCGGCTGCAGCCAAACTCTCCTCCAAAAGAAAGAAAGAGCCAGAAAAAAACGCGTTCATTGAGTCAAATCAATTGAAAAAACATTTGCAAATCTGCCATTATTCCGGGATTTTCTCTCCTTTCTTCTCCTCTGTCTCTCGGGACAAAAGCGCGCAGCCTCCGTGTTTGGCACGGAGCCGTTAGGCGCGGAGCTCCGGGGGAGCGGGGCGGGCGGAGAGCCGGGGGTGAAGCCGCTGGAGGAGCGCGGAGAGCTGGCTGGAGGAGACACCGAGCCGCCCGGAGGGTTTCTGAGTTCATCCGTTTAAATTCCTCAAACATGAAATGTAATATGGCACTTTATATTTTCTACAAGCTGCCAGGTTCCCCATGAAAAATATAGAATGACTGAAACACATTCACAGTAATATTCCATTTACACTGGGGCACTTTCTAAAAGCACAATATGTTCAATATGTTCTACAAAATAGCAACAACAAGTGAAAACGCTTTGAGAAAGGTTTGCACAGTAAGAAATGGAATGCAATTTAATTTTAATATAGAAGAAACAAATGTGAATTGTCAAAAAAAAAAAACCTAACTTAAACTAAAATCAGGCAGCTGATTATGTTCAGTTGAATTTTGTGTTTCTTTTATATAATTAAAGACATTGGTGCAGAAAATGTCTCCAGAATGCTGGAAATTAAGTCAAACTTTGCTGCAGGAGGAACCAAAGAGCCCAACTCACACTGCGCAGTGAATACTGATTCAAAAATAGTATTAAAATATGTTCTGATCTTGTTCTCCTGAACATCACTACACCCCTAATCTGAGCTCTTACCGCAACACAAAGTGACGCCTTTGTTATAAATAATAATATAATATTTAACTGCAGCTGAAAGATGAAATGTTTGAAATGTTTCTGCAGGTTCAAATCTTTTCTTTCTTTTTGTCTGATGAATATTTTAACTGCAGTGACTTCAGAAGGCTGGACCAGAAGAATCTGCTCTTACTCCAGTCTGTAAAAACCCAAATCATCCTACCAATCATAAAATAAAGTCTAAACATAAAACACAGATTCATCCTCTGTTATAATCAGATCTCACCTGTTTCAGATTCGTTCAACAGCAGCAGAAACATTTTTATTTGACTCAGATATGTGAACTTGAATTCAGTCAATTTTGCGCACAAAACGTTCAGAAAATCATCGTTTATCTATTAAAACCAAATTAAATTAATTCTGATGTTTCAGCCGACAGACTGGTGACAATAGAGTGTGTGTGTGTGTGTGTCGCGCTCACGAGTGTCGACAATAAATGTTTAAAAGCTCATAAATACAGATCAGAGTGAAAGAGAATAATAATCCTGTTGAGAGGCGACGGGAGGAGGAGGAGGGTGAATGGAAAAGGATGAAGAAAGCAGCTGTTGTCTTGGTAATCTGTCCTCTAATCTGTTTTCCTGCTCTGTCACTCACACTGCTGCACACCTCCTCCTCCTCCTCCTCCTCCTCCTCCTCCTCCTCCTCCCCAGCTCACATTCCACTGCTGAAGATTTGACTTTATTTTAAATTATTGTAAAAACAGACAAAACATCAAGCTGATCTGAGTCTGAATGAACTCGTGTTGTTTCAGCTCCTCAGTGAAGCTGAAGGCCAAACTAATATAATCACCCTGAGAACTGTACACACAAATACATGTACTGTGAGTACTGTACACACAAATACATGTACTGTGCGTACTGTACACACAAATACATGTACTGTGAGAACTGTACACACAAATACATGTACTGTGAGTACTGTACACACAAATACATGTACTGTGCGTACTGTACACACAAATACATGTACTGTGAGTACTGTACACACAAATACATGTACTGTGAGAACTGTACACACAAATACATGTACTGTGAGTACTGTACACACAAATACATGTACTGTGCGTACTGTACACACAAATACATGTACTGTGAGTACTGTACACATATATTGTTTACCTAAATACTTAACAAGTACATGTACACCACACACATATTGTCTGCAAATTAACTGAATAAAAAACTTGATCACAGAGACCATCAGGGGGGACAGAGATCTCTCTAATGGTCTCTATCACAGAGGACAGAAACCACCAGAGAGGACAGAAACCACCAGAGTGGACAGAAACCACCAGAGAGGACAGAAACCACCAGAGTGGACAGAAACCACCAGAGAGGACAGAAACCATCTGAGTGGACAGAAACCACCAGAGAGGACAGAAACCATCTGAGTGGACAGAAACCACCAGAGTGGACAGAAACCACCAGAGAGGACAGAAACCATCTGAGTGGACAGAAACCATCTGAGTGGACAGAAACCACCAGAGAGGACAGAAACCATCTGAGTGGACAGAAACCACCAGAGTGGACAGAAACCACCAGAGAGGACAGAAACCATCTGAGTGGACAGAAACCATCTGAGTGGACAGAAACCACCAGAGTGGACAGAAACCATCTGAGAGGACAGAGACCACCAGAGAGGACAGAAACCATCCGAGAGGACAGAGACCACCAGAGAGGACAGAAACCATCTGAGTGGACAGAGACCATCCGAGAGGACAGAAACCACCAGAGTGGACAGAAACCACCAGAGTGGACAGAGACCATCCGAGAGGACAGAAACCACCAGAGAGGACAGAAACCACCAGAGAGGACAGAAACCATCCGAGAGGACAGAAACCACCAGAGTGGACAGAAACCATCTGAGAGGACAGAAACCACCAGAGTGGACAGAAACCATCTGAGAGGACAGAAACCACCAGAGAGGACAGAAACCATCCGAGAGGACAGAGACCATCTGAGAGGACAGAGACCATCTGAGAGGACAGAGACAGGTAGGCTGTGACCCCCTGATCTGAGCAGAAAACCTTTAATTGTGTACATTTATTGTTTTAGTTTTTAGAAATCCCAGAGACCACAGTAAGTAAACCTGCAGGGTCCTGGACCAGGTCTCTAGCTGCTGGTCTGAGCTCCGTTCTGTTATTGTTTTCTCATTAAGTCCTAATTGAGTGTCTCTATGGAGTCACGAGCCAGAGCTGTAAACAGAGCCAACAGCGCGTGCACGACCTATACCCCCCTCCTCGCTCCCCCCCCCCCCCCTATAGAACTGTTGGAGGAGGTGATTACGGCTCATTACAGAGTATATAGAGCCTCACACACACCCACTCTGTGTTTCAGCTCCAACACTTTCTACACTTGTTTTATTTCCATCAATTAAACCGTTTGAGACCTTCAGCGACTTTATCTTCTATTTTATATCTTATTTATATTTAACCTGAATTACATTTACAACAACACGCGGAGCTTATTGCACCAAGTCTCACAGAGGTTTTTGGATTTTTTTAAAAGTTGTGTTCACCTGCAGGACTTTTCCTCCTCCGGTTTCCTGACACCGGCTCCCGCTGCAGCTCCTGCCCGCCCCCCGGCTCCTCCCTCCCGGCCATGGGCTCCGTGCTGCCCGGCTCCTCGCTGGGCCTGAAGCCGGGCTTCAAGCCGCAGCAGCCGCTCTCCCTGGCGGACATCATCACCTCGGACATCCTGCACAGCTTCCTGTACGGCCGCTGGAGGCACGTGCTGGGCGAGCAGCACCACCACCCGCACCAGCATCACCTGCAGCACGAGGACCGCAGCACCGCCCCGAGCGCGAGCCCCAAGACCGCGTTCACCGCCGAGGTGCTCGCGCAGTCCTTCTCCGGAGGTCAGTGACGACACTTCAATTAACCAGTTAAATGTAACTTTCACACCTTTGATATGAAGTCAGTTTCAGCTTGAATTTACCTTCAGATTAGAATTTAGGGATCAATAAAGTCATCTCATCGATATTTCATCTTTATTCCTCATAAGTCAGACTGAGGAGCTGAAAAGGAACATTAAATATTTTTCTTCACTGGTTTCAGAGGGAAAATTTGTTTATAGATTTAGTTTCTGCTGAATTTACTGATGAAGATCTAACAAAATATCGACCATCTTATAAAATGTGAGTTGTTTCATGTTGAACTATGCTTTTAATTTTAGTTTGCATTTATTAATAATCCTTAATTAGATAATGAATTGATTCTACTCCCTCATCAGACTTTCAATACATTTAGGGATTTTTATCAAACTGGCTTTTATTTCTGAAAACTGATCAGTTCACACGTTTCTGTCTATTTATACAGTCCTCATCAAACAGATAAAACGTATCCAGCTTTGAATCCAGTTAATCAATTAAACTGATCGGTTAATTTAGACCTATAGCTATTCACATATTTGGTAATAAAAAGGTTTAATCTGCTGCCTGTTTAGACAGAAGCCTAATAATTATTCATTAATTATCACAACAGTTATCAATAACCGATCAAACCGTTTGAAAGCCGTGGTCTGGGTCAAATTGAGTCTCCACGCACGCGCCACCGGCGAAACTCTAAATAAATCATTAAAAATCTTATAATTAACGAACCACTTAATTAACCAGCCACCTGTTGATCGTTAATTAATCCGTAAAAATGTCTGAACGTGTTGCTGATGTTAATTGATAGGCTAATAATTCTGCGGGTTTGAAACCTTCAAAAACGCAAAATAAAAAAATAAAAATAAAGCTTCTCTCGCGGCCTTTTCCCGCGTCTTTTATTTATGTTTTTTAATTAAATTAGTGGAATTCGTTTCCGTTTTCGATAAAATTCGTTTGGAACAGTTTCAGAGGAGCCGTGAGATCTTGGACCTGCTGTTTGGATCCTCCCGTTTCATTTCTAACGGATTATTTCTGGATTATTTCCCTCTGCGGGAGTTTAAACCCGCGTTCTGCTTCTTCACGTTCCTCCTGATGGCATTTATGAGGTTTTTTTTTTCTTCTTCTCCGGTTTTAAATTCGGATAATCCTCCAGCACTTTTATCTCCATTTGAACCTACTTGCTCCTTTATGTCAGGAGCAGTTTCAGGCTTCTTCCATGAGCGTGACACTGCTCTGACATTTCTCTCTGTCTTTTTTCTTTTTAACTTTAATTTCATTTCATTGTATTTTTCTTATTTCATATATCTTGTCCGGAGTCTCCTAGACTTTCTCTTCTGTTCTTCCTCCCTCTGTTGCACATAAATAGGCTACTCGGTTTAAATTATCTTTCCTCCTAAAAGCCGTCATGAATTAAGATTTCTCTTCTCCGGACTCAGCGGGCAGCAGCGGGGAGTTGTGCACACACAATGCCGGTATTGAAAGGGGAAAAAGAGCATTTAACCTCCGTCTTTATCTTTGCCAAGGCTGTTTTTTTTTTTTTTTTAGCTCAGTTTCATGCTGTTTTCACTGTTTATGGGAAACTTCAGCACCTAAACATGTTGTTGTTTCCTATAAAACTCACAGAACAAGGCTGCAGCCTCCCACACTGAGCATTTATGATGCAGTTAAATTTGCTAAAATTTAAATGGAGTTCAGTCACTTTCAAGAGGTTTTCTTTGCTTTAGACCTTTTCTGGTTTCAGTCATGAACCAGGAGAAAATCAAACTGGTTTAAAAAGTGCAAATTAATAACTGTATTTTTATTTTATTTGTCTTCAGAAGTCCAGAAGTTGTCGAGTCTGGTTTTACCCAGCGAGGTGATCATTGCTCAAAGTTCAGTCCCAGGTAAACCCTTCCTCCTCTCTGTGTTTTCAAGTGAGATGAGAGTCATAACATCTGTGTTTGTTATATTGCCATTGAGATCTTTTTTTTATTGAGCATTAAAATTACAACCAAATGTATTAAATATCCCCTCATGTAGTTCAACATGTTTTATCAAATGTTATCACTTTATTTGTATGAATTTCCTTTTGACTTGTGTATTTGTGTCGTCTATAAATGGATCAATGTGCAGTGATCTACTTGTCCATTTTAAGATAAATATTAAATAGGCCTACATAAAATTAGTATTGATAATTTACAATGCTAACTGGCCTGGATCCAGCCGCCATTACAAAGCAGTTTTCTCTTCAGTGTCAGTCAGAGATGAGAATCAGCTGCAGATCTGTATTGTGAGCGGTGTTGCATGAATGATTGTGGGCTACATGTAGTTTTAACATGGTTGTGTCTGAGTAGCAGATGAAGCTGATGTTCCTGTATTAACACCAGTGTGTCTTTGTGTTGTTGGATTTCAGGAGAAGGTTTAGGTATTTTCTCTAAAACATGGATTAAAGCAGGAACAGAGATGGGACCATTCACCGGACGCCTCATCTCACCTGAACACATCGACCTGTACAAGAACAACAACCTCATGTGGGAGGTAAACAGACATATATGTGTATATATATATATATATATAATATATAAAAAAAACTTTTCAATGCCACATTCATATTTACAACATTTGTCAGAAATCCAGGAGCCACATTGCTTCCAACTGACCGACTAGCTAACAAAGCCAGCTAGGTGTTTAACTTAACTGGTGTAGTTCTAATTAGCCACTATTGGTAACTATCTAACTGCCTTAACTGAACTAACTGGTTAAGTGAATGCTAGCCAGGTAGCTTGCTTGCTCACTAGCTAACTAACAAACAACTTGCTGACTCATAGCTTGCTACCTAAATAACCGACTGGCTGAATTGTAGAGTGCAAGTTAACTAACTACCTAACTAGCTGACTCACTGATTGCTGCCATCCAGCTCCCTAGCCAATCAATTAACCAACTGACTGATAAAGCGCAAACTAACTAGTAACACAAGTGACGTTAGCTGTAAAAACCTGTCTGACTCAGTGTTAGCCAGTTAGCAAGCTTTCAAACTACAAGCATACAAACTACACATACCTGGTTCTGATTCTTAAGCTTGCTAGCTTTTTCGCACACTAGCCAAGTGAACACCTAACAAGCCTTTTGGCTAATTGCTATTCAGACAGCTAGCTAACTAAATCCCTAAATGCGTGGCTGGCTGGTTGGCTATCTGTAACCAGCTAACTGCCTGTAACCAGCCTGCCTAACTAGCGTACTGACTGTTAGCCAGCTTGTTTGCTAACTAACTGACCAACTAATCACTGACTGTCTAACTGACTTGTTGCTGTACACTCTTTAGCTAATTAAATAACTGACCAGCTGAATTGCTGATTGTTAACCAGCTAAATAAACTGACTGGCTGATTTGTAGCATGCTACCTTACTAGCCACAGGCTGTCTAACTGAATTGTTACTATACAGTCTGATATCTAAGTAAATAACTGACCATCTAATTAACTAGCTATAATTTGCCAACAACTTGAATCTAACTCACTGGCTTAGTGTCTGCTAGCTAGTTATCACGCTAACTAAAGGATCAACCACCTAATTTTCTGATTTGTCTGTCTAAGTGGCTTAGTGACTGGGTAGCAACAAAACAAAACAACAAAAACTGAACAATTAACTACCTATTAACAGTAATATTCTGACTTACTACAAGTGACTACCACCAATGACTAACTAGCTAGTTATTTAACTGCGTAGTTTGTTTTATATGTATGTTTTTTTAAGTTTCTAATTGAAAAACCAACCAGTAAACAAGAAACCAGAGGCCTGTGCAGAAATATAACAGGATCTTCTAAGACATGTTTCCTCTCTCTCAGGTGTTTAATGAGGACGGGACGGTCAGGTACTTCATCGATGCCAGTCAGGAGGATCAGAGGAGTTGGATGACGTACATCAAGTGTGCGAGGAACGAGCAGGAGCAGAACCTGGAGGTGGTTCAGATCGGCAGCAGCATCTTCTACAAGGCCGTGGAGGTCCGTGAACGCATCACCTCACCTGTTTACTTCAGCAGCATCAACTTCCACTTTTTCCCCAGCTGACTTCACTCTCCCACCAAACAGAACACAAACATGTTGTGGTGTTTTAAATGACATTCATCTGGTACAAAAGCCCTAAGCGACCATCCATTCAAATATTTTATATATATATATACGTTTTTCCATGAGAACAGGATAATTTTCTTGTGATCTCGAGATAACAAAGCAGTGGATCAACACAGGGGTCGGCAGGTAAAGGTAATTTCAGCGTAGTCATTAGAGAGCTAAGTTGACGGACCACAGGACTTACAGTCTTTGGGTTGTGTGTTCAAGGGACTTTTCAATTCCCATCATTCCCAGGCAGAGGATATTCTTGCGCGTCTCGTTCAGTGGAATCCATTTAACGTTACAGATTCCCGGACAGCTATTTCAGAACCTTTGAAATAGCCGTTGGGAAATGATTGGATTCCCCTGAATCTCTTCATAACAACTTTGCTGAAGAGGATAATAAAAAAATGGTAGCGAGCAAGAGTAGAAACTGCAGTCCTGTGCTCCAGCAGCTGAGATAACCAATCTCAGTGAAATTCTCTGAAATCACCCTAAAGAAACGTTCCTGCCGACCCCTGTGTTTTATTAGCTCGAGATCACAAGGTAATAATCACATTACCCCAGGAAAACAACAGTCGTTATCTCGAGATCACAAGATAATTACCCCGTTATCACAGGAAAACAGAGTATTTATAGATAAAAATATTTGAAGGGATGGCCGCTTAGGGCTTCCGTACCTAAGAAACAGTCGAAACACAAGAAGAAGAGTTACTGATCCAACCAGGTGGAAAGCCTGTTAATGGTTCATTTGTACTTTAAGTATTAAAACTAAAAGCACTCAAGCAGAAAGAAAAATGTTCCCTGTGACTGTACTATTATTATATCACTAGATTATTACTCCTCATGCATTCATGTAAAAGCAGGATGTTACTGCTGTAGTTGCTGAAGTATACAGCTCATGTTCAACTATCTGACTGCAGCTAATGATTTTTTTCATTATGAATTCTGTGCTGATTATTTTCTCCCTTAATCAATTTACTAAAATTAGTGTGAAATGCCGTCACAGTTAGTCACACCTACACAATACTTTGTTGTGTCTGACCAACAGTCCAAACCTCAACATTATTAACAATCATTTAAATAATTAAAAAGAAAAGCAGCAAATCTCAAAGCTGGAACCATGAAATGTTTTTAAATGAAAATCTTAATCAAAATAGCTGCCAATCCTTTTTTGGGGGGGTTTAATTCATAACAAAACATATTTTATAAGCTCTTCATATGTTTTGTGACTTTGTAAAGTAACTGAAGCTGTCACATAAATGTAGTGAAGTAGCATAGCTCCTTGTAGTGGAGTAGAAGTAGAAAGTGGCAAGAAAATACTCAAGTAAAGTACAACTACCTCTAATTTGTAAGCACATTACTTAAATGTAAATGTGCGTAGTTACAGTCCAACACTGCATTTAGTATAATTATAATAATAATAAAAATAACAATCATCTTTATTTCTAGAACACTTTTCATGTGTTTTATACAAGGGAGCAAATTAAAATCAAGAAATTATAAAACAATTTAATGTAAAATCAAGTTTTAGACTACTAGAGTTTAACTGAAGCAGATTTAAATAGATCCCAGTAATGTCAGATAAAAGATGTAAGTCTGCAGAAAACGTCTTCAGGTGTGTATCGCCCTCTGCTGGCCGAAGGATTTAATGAGGAACAAACCTGAACTGCGAAACGACAGGCGTTAAAATAGACGACTCAGATACACAATCATTAATATATATCATACTGATTGAAAGACAGGAAACATGGTCTTCATGTCCTCTGGTGATTTTTGTTTTAACCTCTGTGTTTCTTCTCCTCAGACGATCCCTCCGGACCAGGAGCTGCTGGTCTGGTACGGAAACTCCCACAACACCTTCCTGGGAATCCCTGGAATTCCTGGAGGAGATGAAGAACAGAGCAAGAAGAGCAAGAGCGGTAAAGATGATTGATTTATTGATCTGTGACTTCATCCATCAATCTGAAACTGCAGCAAATCGTCTCATAAAAATACACCAAACACACCTGAGAGGGACGGCAGGTCCACACCTGGCTGCTTTTATACATACAGACTTAATAAAACCTGAAGGGTTTAAATTCTTCTTAGACTGTTTGGATTTTCCCGTCTTTTATTTAAGAGGAACTGTTTTATTGCACACAGTACCTGTTAGTAGATACAGTAGATACATTCAGTGGTGGTTTGAGTCTGAACTTGTTGATGAGAAGAAACATTTAGAACAAACCGGACAAAGTATTCAGGTTCAAGTAAAAGTACTAATACCTCACTGTAAAAATACTCTGTTAGAAGTAAAAGTACTGCATTAAAACAGTAAAATGTACTTAACAAATTAAAAGTAAAAGTACTTATTGCAGAAATAAATGTATATCCTGTGATTATTATTATTATTCCTCATGTATTAATGTAAAAGCAGGATTTTACCGGACCTGGTTGAGGTTAAACTATTTTGTATCCGACTGCAGTTAATGACTTTTTTCATTAAGGATTAATCTGCTGATTATTTTCTCCATTAATTGACTGTAAAAACATTTAAAAAGTGGGAATGAGTTGAATAAATTACCCAGAGCCCAGAGTGACACATTCAAAATGCTTGTTTTGTCAGTTTAACCCTCATAAAATAATTATAAATCAATTAAAATAACTAAAAAGAAAAGCAGCAAATCTTCACATGAAATGTTTTTACATGAAAATTGACTTCAACCATCAAAATAGGTGCCGATTAAATTTCTGTCGATCAATGAATGTACCAGCTGTACTTGTATAAACATCATATTTTTTAACAACTTTTTATGTTTTATCTGTAAAAATCTGACTTTGTAAAGTAACAAAGCTTTCAAATAAATGTAGTGAAGTAAAAAGTAAAATAGTAAGTGGCATGAAAAGAGAATCCTCAAGGAAAGTACAAGTACCTCCAATTTGTACTTAAGTACAGTACTTGAGTAAATGTACTTAGTTACTGTCCAACACTGCCTCTCTGTAGGGATCGACCCTCGCGCTTTAATAATTATCCAGAACAAAGTCCGGTTTCAGTTTGACATCAGCCTGAAACATTTCTCCTCCTCTTCCTCCCAGATGAGTTCCACACCTGTGAAGGCTCCTCTTCCTCCTCCTCTTCCTCCTCCTCCTCCTCGTCCTCCACGTCCTCCTCCTCCAGTGTGGGCCGTATGCGTTGCGTTATCTGCCACCGCGGGTTCAACTCCCGCAGCAACCTGCGCTCTCACATGCGCATCCACACGCTGGACAAACCGTTCGTCTGCCGTTTCTGCAACCGCCGCTTCAGCCAGTCGTCCACGCTGAGGAACCACGTCCGGCTGCACACCGGCGAGCGCCCGTACAAGTGCCACGTCTGCCAGTCGGCGTACTCCCAGCTGGCCGGCTTGCGGGCGCACCAGAAGAGCGCCAGGCACCGGCCCACCGGAGATGCCGGGGCCGCGGTGGGAAGTGTGGTGGTAGCTCACTCGCCTCCTCCTCACCCACCGCAGCTGAACGCCATGCCTCACCCGGCATCACTGGTTCACCACATCCCCACCATGGTGCTGTGATGGAGAGGAGACAGACGGACGCACCAGAATACAGACAGGCATCTTTAAATTAAACATAAGATTAAATATTTGGACAATCTAAAACCTGACAGTCAGGTGTGTCTCTCATGGAGGAACATGGTGAACCGTCTGGCAGTTACCCAGGTAGCCAATCAGCACATTCGGCTGTGTGCTGGTTGATCACTGATGGCTGCTCCCCCGGTCGGAAAAAAAACAGAGCCAATTAGAGCATTGAAGGCCAGATTAAGAACGGGGACGACATCTTCCTCTGCTAAAAACAGAAAAAGCCCGTTTACTATTGTTATGATTTCCAGAACCAGAACCAGGCATCCCACAGTGATCTGGAATAAACAGACCTGCTTGTTTGTTGATCTACTATGAATATGAACAATCTGAGCCTTAAAGTGGTTGTTTAGGTTTTCTGGAGCAAAATATTTAAGGAGACCTATTTTACTGCTTTTCCAGACCTATTTTGTAGTTCTGTGACGCCTGTATGGCAGCTTTGCATGATTGAAAGTTCAAAAACATAACTCTCTGTTTTACACTGGCTCTTTATTTAGGCCTTCACTTCAGCCTCTGTCTGAAACAAGCTGGAGATGCTCCTGTTTCTTTAAGGCCCTCTCAAAGCCCACTGTCTTCTGATTGGCCAAGACCTGAAGCATGTTACCAGGCTGTTGTTGTCGCTGGGCGGTACAGACAGACTGAGCGTTGCTGTGCTGTTGCTGTGTGGAGCAAATGACCATATATGGAACAGCGGCTCCGTCTGGCTCCTGGTGTCGTATTACGGAGCCGTTGGTAGAAAAAGCAGTTCAAAACATTCAGAACAGGAGGAAATCTGAGGTTTTGGCTCACAGGGATTTCTTTTAAATACTTTAACCACGTTATTTGAATGTTTGGCCATGTTTGCATTCAACATTGAAGATAAGTCATAAAATATGGAAAAGCATAATAGGTCTCCTTCAAGTACGGCAGCAGAGTTTAAGTTCTTGTGTACAGTCCTTAGATAATGTAATACCACATTTTAGCTGGCAGATGTTCCCAAAAACTTTTCTGCAGATTCATTCAAGTGCTTCACAGAGTTTCTCCATCTCTGGCACCATATTTAGGGCACTGTTGGACTTAGATTCCGGCTACCTGGGTAATAATTTACAAAGAAATCCACAGTCCAACTACGCCTGTTAGCTGTGGTTCACATGATGACATTATCTAAACATAAAATCAATCAGAAGGATCTGAAGTAAACTAACACTTATCAAAACCGAGGACGATTGTACATTACATACACACACACTAGCTGAAGTGTCTCTTCTTCAGGACGACAAAACGCTGAAACTTAAACTCTTGATAGTGATTCATATAACAGTTGCATGATGGGACAGTGTTAGCCTCTGACTCCAGCGTATCATTGGTGTCTCTGAGATGATGATGATGTTGTGCGTTGGTTTGCATGCAAATGGTTTTCTGTTAAAGGTTTGTAATGTGTGTGTGCCGCGGTCTGACGCTCCTTCAGAGGAAATTTCTGGTAGATTACAGACATCATGCTATCATGCTAACAGGGTAGCATACATGATGCTGAGTGACTGAGTGACCCTGCTGAAGTTCAGTTATACTGTGTGTTATATCAGTCACACAGTATTTCAAATTAACTGAGCTGACCTTTGAGGGTACGGAGAGCCGCATAGTCCAAAATTAAGGATGCTATCGTAGCCACGTGTGAACACTTCCACAGAGTCGCGTAATGGAGTATAATCGGGCCATGCTTTCACTATAGCATGGACAATGTTGAGTTATTGTAGCCTCCAAGCTAGCACTTTAGCATACAACTTCTTGATTATTAGTTTTAGAAAAAAATTGAAATATAGCGTGATAGTCTGCTGCATGCTAACACACGCTAGCGTCAACATTGAAGTCTACATTACTTGACTTATTGCATGATAAGCGAACTCGTAGTGACAACAAACTCGTCATCAAAGCGCTAAATAAATATTTTATCTTAACATGATTTTAAAAAAAATCGTTTGGGACTTTGGGTGCTTTGCTCAGTGTTAGCTGCATGCTAACATTTTAGCATGAGTGAACGATGACGGTGTTTTCATCACTGACCAATCAGTAAATATACTAAAAACTTACCAGATTCCTTTAAAGCAGATCATCACTTATTAAAATAGGCAGAGCCTGAAATTTAAAATATATTGTTATTATTAGTTTATGTCTGTTGTTCTTAATCAGTTGGTTGGAACCCAAATTGGGTCTCAGGCAGGTTCAGTGGAAACCTGTTAAAAATATTAGAACCAAACACTTCTAATCTTTTAAAAGTTTCTATATGATTTTTCTGTTTTTTGTATAAATATGTTCAATAATCAAAGTAATGAGAAAAGAATTGAAGTATCTTCGGCTGACAGCTACTTTTTGTCTGCCTTTTCTCTTCGTGTGATGTAAATATACTGTTAAAGAATATAAACATGAGATGTGCTTTACGCCCAGAATATAATTCAACTGTCACTTTACCTCGGTATAATGTATATGTATCAGTATATGAAGTATGCTATGTTGACTTCTTCAAAGGGACATTGTATTTGTGCCTATATACTCTTAATAAAGTTTTACTTCACCTTTAATCTCTTATTGTCATTCTGTCGTATATACAGCTCAGCTTTCAGAGAGGAGGAACATTTAATGTGTAAAATATTTAAACATAACATGTGAAACAACATTTCACATGTTGTAAATTCACATACAGTTCAGTAGGGCTGCAACTAACAATTCATTATTTTTACATTCATTACGGATTAATCTGTCGATCATTTTCTTAAATTCATCGATCAGTTGTTTGGTCTATAAAATGTTAGAAAAATTGGGAAAAATTGGGAAAAATGTCGAACAGTGTTTACAAAAGCCCAAGAGGACGTCCTCAAATGTCCTGTTTTTGTCCACAATCCAAAGATATTCAGGTTACTGTCACAGAGGAGGAAAGAAACCAGAAAATATTCACATTTAAGAAGCTGGAATCATAGAATTTTCTTAGAAAAATGACGATTAATTGATTATCAAAATAGCCGGCAATAATTTAATAGTAGACAACTAATCGATTAATTGAATAATTGTTGCAGCAGTTCTGTACAGGCATATGTGGTTTAAACTTTTCATCTGATAAACAACAAGTGAAAACCAAAATTGAAACCTGCACTACTCCATAATTTATATTAACAATGGATCAAATCTTATAATCACAAGATAATAAGGTGTGCAAATAGGATATTTATCATATCTTGTACAGATAACATAAAAAACACAACTCTTTATTCTTTCAGCACTATTACTTTACTTTATTACAGACTCGGGGTCCAAATCTTACCCACAGAAATACATATATACAACCACATTCACCACCGGTCCAAAGTTTTAGGACACCGCCATGTTTGTAGTTCTTGGATAAATCTAAGTAGCTCAAGTCCAGTGAAAAACCTTAAATGGTACCAAAGTAAGCAGGAAACTGGCAAAGTTAAACAACATTTACGTCACCAAAACAGACATTTTCAAATCTAAAATTAACAATTAAATGAAGGAGTTTTGTTCATTATTTCACTGTAGGATCAACTGATGACCAGCTGCTCTGTCTTCCTTCATTAATATTATATATAATATATATATATAGTGCAAATAAAGCTTCTGAGGGTGTATTAACAGGCTGCTCCAAGGTGCTGATTTCCTTCCACTGCTGCAGAAAAACCAAAGAAGGCAAAGACAAAGTTTAGGTCAGCAAAACTGTCAATTTCAGAGATAAACAATTTTCAGGGATCAAATAATGAGTTAATAACTTCAAGGTATTCTACTGCATTGAAAGTCAAATATGAGTCTGTTCTAAAACTTTTGACATGTAGTGTAAATATACACATTCGTAAATACATATAAAAACACCGTAATAAAGTTAATATATATATAACTTAAAAGAGAAAAATCAAAAGAATTTTATAAAAAGACAGTGTCCTACCAGAAGACAATCGTACCAACGTTTCCACATACGGAATTGGTAGCGTGGGGTACTTAGCTGTATTTTTGTCAAGCCCAAAATGATTGTACTTTGCTGCCCTGTCAGTCACGTGACTCCCGCCTCGCAGGTCGAAAGCGGTCCTGTCAAGACTCCAAATGAGGATCATGTGGCCCAGCATCTACTGGATGTGTATCACACTGACTGTTAAAGGGGCAGCAGGAAATCGAGGGTCTGGGCCCAAATGCCGACAACAGAGGTGGAACAGGTATGTTCTTAGATTTAATTAACAAAACCACCACAGTGACAAAACTCACAAGGAGGTGATTAGAGGTCAAAACCCATGAAAGTAATATCTGCAAACAAACCCAGAGTCCATAATCCGAAAACATGCAAGAGTCCACAGGAAACACAGAAGATAAACATCGATAAAAACGAACACCTGGAAATACTAGAATACCGGCAGAATAGAGAGTAGGGAGTGAAATACACCAAGAGACAAGAGTCAGGGCTTATGGCCTAAAGCCTCCCCTGCTTCCTGGTCTCTGTTCCTCTAAATGGGACCATGTTAGCATCAACTACTTTATATGCGAGAAGTTGTGGTTACAGTTTTCTCTCTGCTGCCTCCTAGAGGCCAGAATGTCAGTGAATGTAGCTTAAAGTTTATTTAAGAAGACAAACCCTTACAATTTGAATGACACCATGATCTTTTCTCCAGGTCCACTATTGGGACGAACTTTGATACAGACACCAGGAACAGAAAAAACGTTTCACAGGTATGAAAGGATGCCGTCTTCAAGTCCGATATCTTGTTATTTTAAGCAAAGTTAGAGCTCCTCTGATTTCTTCTTCGTAGTAACAACAGCCCAAAAACCTCTCAGTCCTCAAACATATTCATGTTTTTACTGCAGAGTGAAGAGAACCAAACAAACACTATATGAACTTTTGCTTTCTGAATTGATGAGCTGATAACAGGAAAATCAGAGTCAACACTGTTGGGTAACATCAGAAAACACAGGCTGAGTAAACTCACCTTTGGGACACACAAGTACACAAACAGAGGAAGTTCCAGACAGGCAGTGATTTGCCAATAGTTGAGTTGATCAATAACTAATCAAATCTAACTCTCTGTCAGTGTCTCAGTCAGTTTTCTCAGTCAGCGGTGTGTCTCCAGAGCTCAGTGTGTGTTTTCTCCTCACCGTCAGGATGAAGGTGTGTGTCCTCCTGATGTGTGTGTGCTGTCTCTGTTGGAGGACGGAGGCCGAGTCCAGATCGTAAGTCATCTTTCATCTATTACACTCATTATTCACTGGTGGAGGTTGTGCATTGGTAACTAAATTAAGCTGTTTGAAGGCCTGTGGTAGCTGCAGGGTTGTAGTGAAGCTGGTTTTCTGCAGAAGCTGCAAGTTAACAAACACTCATGCACTCTCCTCCTGTTTGTTGGAGGTGCAGAGCAGTGGTGTGCACAGACTCTGCATGGGGTGGTGATGGCGCTTGCCTTTAGTGTGGGAGACCCGGGTTCGATTCCCACTGTGAGACATCCACCATTGTGTCCCTGAGCAAGACACTTGACCCCTCGTTGCTCCAGAGGCGTGCGACCTCTGACATGTATAGCAATTGTAAGTCGCTTTGGATAAAAGCGTCAGCTAAATGAATAAATGTAATATAATGCATGATCAGAAGGTGAAAATGAAATGGGGGCCCCTCCTCAATTTACACTGACATGGAGCTCA